TTAGCATTACCTGGGATGTCTTTGCTCCGCAATGACAGAAAATCAGGATTTGGGGGCGGAGTAGCTATTTACATACGTTCTTGGTTAGAGGTGCATCAAGTTCATAACCTCGAGTTCAACGATCTTGAGAAATTTATATGGTGCTCTGTAAGATTGTCTAGTACTTCGAGGTGTCTAGTCGGAGTCATTAACAGGAAGCCAACTGCCGACATCGAGTACGATAGTCGTATGCTGGAAGGACTATCCCGCTCTACTCGTCTCTGTTTCACACACATCCTGATTCTAGGGGACTTTAATCTCCCTAGAGTCAACTTCGCGGAACACACGTATACTGGAAGCGACAACTTAATTGAAGCTCGGTTCTTCAACCTCATCGATGACTTGGGATTGTATGAAAATGTGAGGTCGGCAACTCGTTGAATAAACAGTTAAACACCATCGCGCTTAGACTGTGTATTCACAGCCGAAGAATTTCTAGTTGACAAACTTCTCAATCCTGGCTCCCCTGGGAAAAAGCGATCATGCCGTCATAGCCTTCAGTTTTGTCAGCAAAACTAAGCTAAGATACCCCACCAATAACTTGCGTTGGAATTTTAAACGGTTGAATGTGTCAGCTATACACGACTATCTACATCAGGTGGTTTGAGATGTTCACCCCCAACTCGATGTGGATGGTTATTGGGACTTTTTACTGCACACGCTCCTCAAACGATTCCAAAAAGCTGCAAGCCACCCAAAATAATCAAGAACCGTACTCTTCGCCTGCTAAGCCGCGAAAAGCACTGTTGGGCGGAACACAAACGAACTGACAACGACAGAGCGTACAGGCAATATAAACATATCAGGAACATATGCACAAAGGCTATAAGAGAAGATAGGCTTCAGTACCAGACAAAGCTTATGGACAAATTTGCCTCCAATCCTAAAAGCTTATTCCGTTATGCAGCCTCTCTTCGTCAAGCAGAAACTGGAGTTCCCCAACTGGTAGGTCTTAACGGCACGACCAACAACGATGGCGACGCCGCTAACCTTCTGGCTGAACATTACTCCCAGACATTTCAACCGACCGACATTAACTTTACTGATGACAGTTTCGTTTGCAATTCCACAGAACTTCCCGAAGTGAACCTAAGCGCTGACTTGGTGTTCCGGAAACTGCAGCACTTAAGATTAAACACTTCTCCTGGCCCGGACATGGTCCATTCCGCCATACTGAGGAAAGCAACCTCAATCTTGTCAACGCCGCTTAGCGTGATGTTCTCACACTCGCAAAGTCGAGGAAAACTACCGGAAAGTTGGAGGCTGGCTCACATCACACCAATTTTCAAAGGAGGTCGACGCAGCGAACCTTCAAGTTACCGACCGGTGGCTCTTCTCTCCATACCTTCAAAAATCATGGAGTCCCTGATACGCGATGGTATAAATGACTATCTACTGTCCTTAAATTTCTTCTCACCCCAACAGCATGGTTTCAGGAAGGGTTACTCTTGTATTACCAACCTGCTAACTGCGGTGGACAGATGAACAAGCATCCTTGATCACAAGGGAAAGGTTGATATCATCTACCTAGATTTCTTAAAAGCTTTTGATAAGGTTAACCACACATGTCTTGTCAATAAGCTCAAACGATTGGGTATCAGACCACCTCTAGTCGATTGGCTCACTTGATACCTGAAAAATCGACATTTTAAGGTCAGGGTTAATTCCACCTTATCTCAGGTTACGGAATGTCCTAGTGGGGTCCCCCAGGGCTCAGTACTAGGGCCTCTTCTCTTCTTGATCTACATAAATGATCTTCCTCAACAAGTAACGTAAGACTTATTACTTTTTGCCGACGACGTGAAACTTTGGAGAGAGATACGCAACCAAGATGATATACAGGCACTTCAGGAGAAACTGACTCGACTTCAAAGTTGGGTAGACGATAACGGACTTACCTTTAACACTTCAAAGTGTAAAGTAGTCCATCTGCGACATGTCGCAGAATGCAGTTATAACTTAGGTACTTCCTCTCTAGTAGTATCCCAAATCGAAAAAGATTTAGGAGTCCTGGTGCCCTACGATTTAAAGTCTTACTCTAACTGTGACAAAAATGCCTTCCGAGCAAACCATGCACTGGTAACATTGAAGCGCATTTTTTGCCAGTTTGATGGAAGAACTTTCCATATAATCTTCAATAGTTTTGTTCGTCTCCACTTAGAGTACGGAAACATAGTATTTCCCCCCTCATTCCAAGAGGATAAGGACACCCTGGAGCGTATCCAACGGCGAGCCATGAAATCAGTTCGAGGACTCAAATTTAAACCTTACGAAGAGCGCCTCCATTCACTTAACCTTCACCCATTAGAGTATAGACGTCTTAGAGGTGACCTTCTGATGGCTTATAGTATCCTTAACACTTCTGGACATCCTCTCAAACACCTACTCAAGCTTAGTTCCAACACTAACCTAAGAGGTAACACCCGAAAACTGGAGACACAACATAGCAGAACGGACTGTAGACACAACTTCTACTCCTTAAGAGTTGTCAAATGCTGGAATTCGCTGCCGGCCGAGCTAGTCCAAGCGACTTCCCAGGAGTCCTTTAAGAAGCAACTTGATTTATTCTTAAGGACTAAGGATAGTATCACACTATGATTTACTAATTTCTTTTCCTCTTTTATTGTTAACATACCTAGGTCCCTGCCTGGAGGCTTTGGCGATCCCCTGCTACTAGACACGGAAGCCTGTTAAGCGAAAGCTTCTTCTATTCCGTCTACAACCATTTCAATTATTTGAACTGACGCCCTTCAGTCAATTCTCCAGTTTTCCTACATGGAGACATCAGTGATCCGCTGCTACAAGATATTAAAGTTCGTCCAACGAAGAATGGTGTGTCTACATGCACTCGGGCGATTCAAAGGTTAATAAGTACAACATAGGGGATGTGTCATTACCCGTAGTCCGGTTTCATAAGGATCTAGGGGTGACAGTGAGTAATGATCTTAAGACGACGGCCCATTGCCAGGAGGTCGCAGTCAAGGGGTTTCGAACCCTCTGGGCTTTAAAAAGGACATTCACTAAGTTAGATACTACCATGTTCACCACATTATACACATCCTTAGTGAGAACTAAGCTAGAGAACTGCGCTCAGGCTGCAAGCCCCTGTTTAAAAAGTGACTCGGACATATCAGAAAAAGTACAGAGGGCAGCTACCCGTGCAATTCCGGAACTCCGGGGTTTATCATACAAAGAGTGGCTTGAAAAACTGGATCTCTTTACTCTGTCCTATCGCAGACTAAGGGGAGATCTAATATTGATGTACAGAATACTGAGAAATGATTTCGGACCTAACTTACTTTCTCTCTTTCTTCCCACTAGATCAGGAAACCTTAAAAAACATAGCAGGCGAGTAGAAAAGCCGAGAACGAACAAAATACCCGTGGCATACAGGTTTTCACACCGCGTCATCAATACTTGGAACCTGCTGCCTGAAGCAGTGGTGTCCGCACCATCAATTGACTCTTTCAAGAGAAGACTGGACACTCACAGTAGCGAACTAGAAAAGGAATAAAATAGACTGTAGGCCTTCTGTCCTTACTACACAAATCTGAATCTGAATCTGAATGGGACGCGGAAAAACTCAATGAAACGGTACTTTCGCACTTTTTGTCGAAAGTCTCGGTGTCCTTAAGGTAGTTCAGTTTACTCTCTACTTTTTCATTCTCATCCTTTCATGTGTATCTATCATTAAGTATGATCATTAAAAACTGCTCTTTAACTTGTGAAATAACTTTATTTTCAAGGCGTTAATGTATTTTATCATCTAATCAGCTGACCGACTACCTGTTGAATGCATCTTACGAATGTATATCAGTGGACCATTTTTAAGGGTTGAATTGTTTCTTTCGTTGTTTTTCGATTTTCATGACTTTATGTGGTATTTATTCCGATAACCCTAATGCTGCAACTCAACTGTTTGAGTGCTTGTTCCGTACGTCTGTTTCCCAACAAAGACAAGCTGAAGACTTAACCGAAACTACCTAGGCAGAGGTAGCACCAAGTATTAAGGCTGAATTTCACAGCTCATGACTGAATATCTCGTAGTCAGCATCGTTAAGTTAACATTTCGTATCTGGGGCGATTTTAATTTCTGTCTTAATGTTTTGTATTGAATGAACTTCACGGGATTAGCTGAGAAGCTTTCTGCGTGAAGGTTATTTCGCAAGTTTATGTATGTATACATACTTGTGGGTATGATTGGAGTTTCTTCATATGGTTTCAAAATCTCGTACAGTCGTATGAACTCAAGTAAACCGATATATTAGTTTACATGTTATCCTATCAAGAGTTTGACCCGAAGTTCGTGAGTCTGCTTACGTAAAACTAATCAGTTAGTGGAATTTTTCAAAGCTCGAATTAGAACTGCAACTGTTAACATCAGTTGTATATTATGTCGAAATTTTCTAACCCGAACTTTTGAAAGGCTCATGCACTTCCATCAGTCCGAGTAAAAAGACCATCCTTCAAAGCCAAGAGCTTACCAACGCTTGTTCTACTCGATTTCAAAAGTTAGCAGACTATAAAAAGCTATTGTTTTGTCTTACGATCAATATGTAATGAAATTAACTATAATGTAAATTTAATCAAACTTTAGACTTGTAATAAAATTATGGTTGAGTTTGTGTTAGGCTAACTCTGGAGTTGCTATGAATAGAAATTTAGAATTCACACTTAGCTTAAATGAGTAAACCATGAGTGAAATTAGTCTCAATGCCTAGTAGTTTCAGTTTATGAACTGTGTTAACAAAACTGGATTACTTAACATTTTTTCGGCGTTGCGCAATAGTGAAATGAAGATAATCGTGTTGGGGAAAAAGGTCTAATCTTCGGTACTAATAATGGCAATTTTGTTTTCAGTAAATGACTATAGACTAGAGAGTTTTGCATATTTAGATCAAAGTTGCGTAGTATTTATATTTGAATTTGTTTCAGGTTTCATTTGCCCTTGGTCGTATATAATGTCAAAGCTACCAGTTCTTGCTAAAACTTTAGTTGATATGGGACACAAGCGAGTTAGAAAAAACCCTCGCGTTTATCAAAAAGCGAAAGGTTTGTGTTATATCGAATGCATTATTCTGTACAGGAAAATTTCTAAAAGTACGACAACCTACCCCAGTTGATCCAGTTGAAGATGCACTTTCCAAAAAATGGTGGGTTGATTACCGATTGCAGTATGAAGCCGTCAGGTTAGTCTAGTAGTTACCACCCATTTGCTTTTAGGAGTCTTTTTCGATATGAAATCAATCGTCATCAAATGGAAGCTATTTCTGCCTCACGAATAGATCATGAACATGAGCGTAATAGACGTCATGAGCTAACAGAAACCTGGAACAAAGAGACCTTTCTACTAGCCGCAGATAAATTTGAAAGGCTCTTAAAAGCATTGATTGATAAGCAAACTGATAGACTAATTGATTTTGAAAATAAACAAGCAAAGTTATCGGACAAATTAAAAGCTGACCTTGACACAGTAGCTGTAAGTTTGATTGTTTATTGTTAAATATAGGTGTGTATATTAAGCATTCTTTAGTAGAACACGTATCCCGACATTAGGTACGGTGTAAATAAGCTATGTCTATTTTTGGTTATCCACACGTAAATTCAAAGTACTTTTACAAGACTGGTAGGAACCTGTGCCTGCACTCACCCTTAGTTGTAAGCCGTTAAATGTAGCCGTAAAGTTTCTGTATCTGGGTAGCTGTGTGTATGTCGTGGTGATGTGTCAGCTGAGATCAATCTATGTATAGTAAAAATCAGAGTGGCCTATTGTAGTCCGGGCTATCTTAGCAGCATCGTGGTGTAAGTCTGGCTGTAAAAGGTGCTATTCACAATGCTTCGGTGAAAGCGTTTCTGATATGTACTTGGGAAACCTGATTTCTCAGAGCTGAAGATGTTATCAGACATGGCGCAAAATAAATGTCTATCGTGCTACATTTTCCTTCCATATTCACAAATTCGAAAGCGATTTCTTTAGCTGAAATGATTCTTTTTGGTTATGTTTTCCTCAACTGAACTGTTTCTCCCATTATTTACTATTTTCGTTCACTTATTGCTGTTCACTTGTTTTTTTATATTATACTCACTATCCTTTCTCTGTCTCTTCACTACCTCATTTCCACATTTGTGTGTGGCATATTTATTTTCATGTCTATTTGTGCTGAATCTTTGTGTTTAAATAAATATGTAAATATTTCTCGTTAACGTTGTCTGTCATTTTTCACAAACTAGCTGGTGCAACTCAGCAATCGAGTTCAAGTAATCAAGTATAAGCAGTACGTTTATATGAAGGTTAGTTATGATAAATAGTTGCCCAACCGGAAGTAGTTAAAGCATGGTCTGAGCTCACTAAACTAAAACGAAAAGTTAAGTTTTAAAAGCTAATTCATTACTCTAAATGCGCCATTAAATTATTTATAGTCTTTCTGAAAATTATCTCAATGATTACATGAATTTAAATAAAGCAAGAACAAATATTGGTGCAGAATAGTATGAATTCATATTATTTCGAGGTTTCTCGTCAGCTGCTTACAAACCAAAAAATGTGATAGAATTTTTACATTGAGATAGAGTGAAAACAAATGACATAGATGAGTGTAAATAACTGGGTAAAAATTCTATCACATTTTCTGGTTTGTAAGCAGCTGACGAGAAACCTCGAAATAATATGAATTCATACTATTCTGCACCAATATTTGTTCTTGCTTTATTTAAATTCATAAACGGAACCAATTGCATGAGATTACATAAATTTTCAAAGAACCTTTCATGTTGGGATACCAGAGATAAAATGACATTTTGCATTAGTCCTTTGGAATTATAATTGACTACCACACACTTATTTTTTTACAGATGTTAACTGGACAGATGATTACGGAGACAAATTTAGATGATAAAATTGACGAAATAATGAATTGTGATGTTGTTGATTATAACTTCGTGGTTGATCATAGTGGTAATATTGTTCGAGGAACAAAACCAATAAAAAACGAACTTCATAAAGTTGATGTGGAGGAAAATATACAAGAAGAACCTTTGTCTGCTACATCATGAATCCTTGTAGAAATTTTTTCTCACGTTCTCGGGCGTTTTTGTGCATGAGTTTATTTGATAATTAGTATTATATATACTTTGTACATAAAAAATACACCCATTTATTTCATATTGTATGTTCACTTTAAAATTTAATCTTCTATTCATCTGTACGTTATTTTGAGGGTAAGACTGTTCAGAATATATGATGCTCTTGTTTACGTTATATTAAACTAAATAGGTGAATCCCAAGTCCCTCTATGTTTCTATCCGGAATCCCTTAAAATATCGACAGTCACTACCAATGCGGTTAACTTGACAGTTGTTTCTTGTTCATTTTCAAAACACGCTTGTGGCAATGTTTCGGTTGAATATCATATTAGCCAACATTCAACTAATTGAGCTGAGTTTTAAAATTCAATTTATCTACAGAAGTTTTTGAGGCTAAATAATATCATTCCTCACTCAATATGTGGCTTATAGTTCAGTACAATTCACTTTGCAAAAAATCCATTCAACACAGGTTTGTCATACACGGTTTTTAGCATCTTTTTTTGTCTACCTAAGTGCCTAAGTTAAAGTAGATGGAGGGAGGATCTAACCCACAACCCACTGATTAAAAGCCGATTACTATAGTCACTAAATCACCACTCCCTAAGTCATACGTTGTAGTGACTGGTGCTGTATCAAGCCAAACTAATCTAGCTTATGGACAGACCAATCCATTCATTCTTCTCCAGCTACATTTTGACCTTGTCACTTATTCGCTTATTAACCCTGACTTTTTATATGACTGTGTGAGTATATTGCCTACTCTATTCATCACATGTCCATAACTTATTTTTGTCTGACTACAAATATTGAGTCACGTTTGGTTAGATCGAATTGTCTCACATGCTTTCTCCGATCCGTTTCGCTTCGTTTCCCTAATTGTCCGTTCAGATCAACGATTGTATGAAATATACGTATTTGAAATCCATTCTTGTGTTTGGTTTATTTTATTTTCGTTATTCACTAACGCAAGTTAAGTCGTTAGTTATGTACGAGGGTAGCCAGGATGTATATTTCGATAGCAGTCAGCGGATCGATCTAACTGGAGTCAGATACAGGGCCACAATATAACCCGTGTTTTTTACTACATTCGTAAATGGGTTAAATTAATAAATTGATCTATTGTGGTTAGAGGATATGTGGAGTAGTTGCTTATATATTCACACTTTGAAATGTTGGAAGTTTCAGGAAACCTTTAATTTATGTTGTCAAAAACTACGAACCTGAGTTAAACCAATCACCGGTTATTGATACTCATGTAGAATGACATTGTTTTGTTAAAGTTGTACGAGCTATGGATAGTTTAAAGTTTGGCAGACCAGTTAAACTTGATGGTTCATTTCTGGAGATCTTTAAGGATGGTCTCCCGGTCTTAATAGTAAGTTTGGTTGTTATGTTAGCTAGAGTCTAGGATATAGATGTTATCCTAGCTAACTAGTCTCGATCGCTGGTTATGATGGCTACAGTAGAATTAGTTTACTTAATAGTCTCTAAAATATTGGTCTTAATATTCATCCAATACGCAACTAAGGCTTTTAAACAGCGAAACCCTAGTTCCGAACCTTAGTGTGTTTTGATTGATCACATATTAATGCTCCGCCAGGTTTCCGAAGAAATCCATGAATTCTACTGACCTGTCAGATACTAATTCACAACAAAAATATTGCGATCAACATTAACCAGGAATTTAACATTCGAATAAATCTTTCAAACCAACCAACTGAACGATAATTTCATGCTCACCAGGAGCTAACTTCACCCGACTGTAGCTGCTACCTTGACGTGACGGTTGGGCTTGCCTATCGTGATGACCCAACCGAGCTATATTGGCTGGAACAAATGTTCCTGTAGGTTCTACCATGCCAGGCAGGTCGATTGGAGAACGGTGAGACTAAAAGCAGCAACTCAAGGTCTGAGAGCGAAGTACTGCTGACTGTAGAGGGGACAGTCAGTCAGTAACAACAACAGTAAGGTGTTCTCCTTGGACAACCAGCATCTGCAGCGATGCTGCTCCCACAAGGAGGGGTGGGTTCAGAAAAAGTCCACCCTAAAAATGTCACACCTCACCTTACCTCACGGATTTCCGTCTCCGGCGGTAAGGCCGTTTGAAGAACGGAGCTAACACGTTAAAAACCTCCCTCAAAGAGGCCGTGCGCGACCGGCCTCAAGCAGTTGTCCCTTTGGGCTCTGCGGTCACGCTTCCAGGCTGTTAGGGCCGACATTATTCCGAATTCCTTTTCAGGTTCCTCAAGAAATACCCTTCCATGGTGTGGGCAGCCGGGAAGTGACACCAGCCCTCATCCTTGTAACAGCACACGAGACCAAGTTGGTCACATTAAAATCCTTCCGACACCTCTTGATACCACTCTTATCTCCATGACTAGCCCTCCTCACGTCTCTTTATCACCTCGCACCACTAGGGCAGACGATTCGAGTACGCGGAACGCTGTTCCTGGTCTCCTGAAACCACGCTGTAAACTACACGTAGGAGCTTTTAACGTCCGAACACTGTGCCAAATAGGACAGCAGGCTTCCTTAGCTAAAACTTTAGAATCTCGCGCCATCGATGTGTGCTGCGTCTCCGAAACGCGCGTACAGGATCCAAGTAGCGTCATTCATTTGACCTCACCATGCCAAAATAAAGAACCGACTCGATTTACGCTTCGTGTATCTGGAAGCCCTGATTCTGCTTCCCGTGGCCTCGCCGGCGTAGGTATAGCATTGAGTTCTAGGGAAGAACTAGCTCTCTTAGAGTGGATCCCAGCAGACAATCGTTTGTGCGCTGTCCGACTGAACGGAACAGTAAGGATCCGAAAAGATAGGGACACTCATCATTGCCTCTTCGTCGTCTCTGCCTATTCTTCCGCTGACTGCAGCGCAGATGATGTAAAAGATGAGTTTTACAGAAAGCTTTCCGATCTTCTCCGAAAAGCTAGGCGCTCGGATGTAGTAATAATGGCCGGTGACTTTAATGCTCAAGTAGGTAAACTAAACGATAGGGAAAGACACCTAGGTGGATCTTATAGCATCGTGGCTCAAAGTACAGATAATGGCGACCGTCTGTTGCAGCTATGCTCAGATAACCGCCTGTTCCTTGCAAATACTAACTTTAAGCATAAGCAAAAACATCTTTTAACATGGTGACCCCCTAATTCGTCCCAACGTTGGACCCAAATAGATCACATCGCTATCAGCCACCGATGGAGGGGCTCGATAGAAGACTGTCGCTCATTCTGCAGCAAATGCTCTAGTACGAGCGCGTATTTTCCTGCGTCTTGCTGGAGGTAGGAAAGACGCTGCCAGGAAACCTCTTAGGGGCCTACTTAATGATAGTCAAGCTAAGAATATATTTCATGAACAACTAGAAAAACAATTAGACAGCCATGTATGTGATGTCCACCCCGAGGCATTGTGAAATGACATCCGAAAAGCTGTGGAAACAACAGTGATATCTGCTAGTACGGTAAACCGTAAGGTTAGGGAGAGACACTGGATCCAATCTCATTCCATCTGGCTCTGAACATAACGAAGAGCGGAGTCAGCTTAAACGCAACCTGAAAAGAAGCCTACGCAATGATCGTGAACAGTGGTGGGTAGCGAAAGCAAGAGAGATGGAAAAACCAGCGGTAATAGGTAACAGCAGACAATTGTTCAGACTTGTTAAGAAAACCTGTATTAGGAACCCGACTGTTAGCGAAGCTATCCCAGAAAAAGATGGGCAGAACACTTTAGGGATCAGTTCAACTGGCCTTCAGCCACACTTCAGTGGAAGTGGAAGTAATCCCATCTGACTGGTCTCAATCACTGATTGTGCCAGTCTATAAGAAAGGACAGAAATCCTCTTGTGACAATCACAGAGGAATCAGTTTGACGAATATAGTGTCTAAAATATTAGCTTCAATAATACTTCGACGCCTAACTAAAGCCCGTGAAGAGCAGACTAGAGAAAACCAGGCCGGTTTTTGACCTGGACGTGGTTGTATAGGCCAGATATTTACATTACGTCAGGTTCTAGAACACGGACACACGTTCAGACGTCCCACAATCGTAGTATTTCTCGACCTTAAGGCGGCATTTGACTCTGTTGATCGTGAGGTTCTATGGCAGTGTTTGTCACTGAAAGGAGTACCAAAGAAGTACATTAACCTTGTAAAGGCTCTCTACTCTAACACAACTGGTCGAGTGAGAGCTAATGGCGAACTGTCATCAGAATTGATTACCTCAAGTGGTGTTCGTCAGAGCTGTCCACTCTCCCCATTCTTGTTTAACTTTGTCGTTGACGTATTTTTAGAGATAACACTTTCCTCATCTAAATTTTCAGGGGTTGAACTTCTACCAGGAGATTCACTTGTTGACTTAGAATATGCTGATGACATAGTTCTATTTGGCGAAGACGCTGACAAAATGCAGTCTTCTGACCACTCTAAGCAATAATGCAAGCATGTTCGGGATGCGATTTCCCCCCCCCCCCCGAAATGCAAAATGTTACTTCAGGGTTGGGTTGCATCGACACTCAAACTAATGATAGGGAGTGAAGTAGTTTGGCGTGTCGACCGCCTCACTTATCTTGGAAGTTTCATCAGTCCTTGTGTTCTGGTGTGTGACGAAATCTTAACACGGATACAGAAGGCTCGACTAGCTTTTACCAACTTGCATCATTTATGGCGTAGACGAGATATCTATCTACCAACCAAAGAACAGGTTTACTACATAGCAGTTCGTTCCTTCCTACTTTATGGCAGTGAAAAACATGGCCGGTAAGAGTAGAGGATATTCGTAGGCTACTAGTATTCGATCATAGATGTCTTGGGACCATCGAGTAAGTAACTCAGTTGTTAGGAAACGGGTACTAGGTAAGGATGGCAAGTCAATTGATGAGGTAGTGGAACTTCATGAGTTGAGATGGCTGGGACCGGTGTTACGTATTCCCAACCACCTACTGCCTTGACGTGCGATGCTTTCTGGTGTAGGAGTAATTTGGAAGAAAGCTAGGGGCAGCCAGACCAAAACATGGCGCAAACCTATGAAGTCACTGACAAGTGGACTGTGCCATGTTGTTAGGTGTGGACTACCTGGTTGGGGACCGCGAGGTGATAGCAACCGATGGTTAGGGACCTTGAATGACATGGCTCAAAATCGTTTGCAATGGCGCAGGTGTATCCACTCTTTGTATTCTTCCGAATTCTAATCTTCTGAATCCTTCATGTCCTTTATTTTCTTTCCAAATTTATTTCACTGTATTATACTCCCTGAATAACATCTTCGAACCCTAATCTTTCCGATTACTGCTTATACTCTTACTACCTCTACCACTACGGAATTGGAATCGATAACTGCATCTCGAAGTTCCAAGTTGTTACTGACTGAAGGGCTGACTTTAAGGTAGATTTCCGACGTTTCATTGGTAATTCATGACTAGTGCACTTCAACTATGTTGAACTTGAGACAGATATTATTAATGACAGTAAATGTGACACACTATATCTAGAACTGACCGAATTTAATAAGTGTTTACTATTGATTAATTTCGAATTCGTAGTTAGACGACAACTTTTGAAACTAAGGACTTAGTCTTTGGTGAGATCATAAGTGTTCACAATGATAAGGAGTGCTAAACTATGGTTAAATAACTACCCAATATTTCTTGGTTTCCATCAGTTCTCCAAGTGAAGTCAGTATGTGTCGAAATCTATATCACAGAACAAGGAAATTAATCCAATAATATTAATATTTTTATCTATAATAATTAAATTATTCATGATTATAAGATCAATCATGCAGTGTGTATTTCAAATATGTAAGTCAATGCATACTTTTTCCCTACTTAAAAATGGGATGGTATCATTACATTTTTTCAAAAAGTAATGTTGTAGTCGATACTCTATGATTATTATTATTTAAAGAAAAATTCGTTTTCATTTACATACGAATTTTTAGTCGCCTATTAGGTGATGACACACGACTGTAAGTTTTATTTGTATTCATAGATGGATGGTGTTTCGCTTCCAATTTTTGTAATTGACGTGTAACTCGACCAATTATTTCAGCTTGTGATAATGGACGAATTGATGTTGGTGTATTTTCATCATCATTTGTATCATCTTCATCTCTTAGAGTATAGATAAAAGTATAATTGGAAATTTTATATGATTAGTATGTTATAGTTTGATGTGTGCTACTTATATTTTTGATTCAACAAGTGGATTATACATTGAGAAGTTGAAAATCATCGACTAATTATTTTTATTCTGGATAGTTTTTTTAAGCGTGGATCTGTGATCTTTACGGTTCAAAAATTCAGTTTTCCACGTACAATGTATACTTATATCACTTTTCCTATACTTAAGTTTGTTTACATTCAATTTGGCCAAGCCCTTTAATTAGCTTATTGAATAGACAGTGTTATTAGATGAGTATCAATTCACGGAATTCCACTGTTGACCAATATTTTTCTTATCTATGGTTAAATTTAATATTTTCTTTATTCAAAAATTTATGCTTTCGTTATCCAAACTAAAGTAATCTTTGTTTGTGTAAATGAATAATTTTGTAACTCTAGCACACAAGAATCAACATTTTTGGCCAGAATTAAAGCTTTGAAGACTTAACTAAACTTCGTCAATAAAGAATAGAGCATGTCTACAAATAGAATATCTTCAAACGTAGCAACGGTGACAAGATTTGAAGAATAAAATGGCTTAATTTCATTTCGAGGCTTCTTATCAGCTTCAAATTGCTTATAGTCACAAACAGTAATATAGTTACTAACAAAAGTTTGATATTATTTTATTTAGTGAAGTTGAGCTAGACGTTTGGGATGGAACGAGAAGTCAAACTCAGAACCTTCTGTCTCACATGTGAAATTCTGAACTCTAGACCACTGTCCCGGGATCCAATCGTATACACGTCTAGATTCAGTCAATCACATTATATACGGTCGAGAATATGATGCTCTTAGTGCACATTGTTGGCGCTATTTTGGCGGAGCCATATAGATGCTAGTGTGATGCATATTTTATTTACGTTGCGTACATTCTGTTTATAAATCACATTGATATAACATAGATAATGAAAGTCGAACATCAATCGTATCTAGAATAAGTATATTTCTGACGTGCTAATATTAAACGACAGATAGACAATAAAACATTCGGCAAATGTATAAAGCATTAGAGTTCGGCTGTTCACTGATTCAGAGAACAACTAGGTGATCAAGCTTTAATAAGCGCGAGATACAAATAAGTGTATTAAAGGCATACGTACTATCGTACACACATGATCAATACTACACTTGAGTAATTGACAATGTCAAATAAGTGTGTAATAGGATAACTGGGATGATTAGTGCAATTTGTTTTCCCCAGAAGTTAGAATAAATCTCTTACACAAGTAGCAATATGGATTGCTTCATGATGAAAATACAAAATTATCATTGAGCATGTTTCAGATATTAATTAAGGTTACGGAGTGAGTTGTTGAGATATTTGTTAAAGTAATAATCTTACTGACATGAAAATATAGTGAAAATGCTAGGTATGATAAAAATAAAAATATATTCATATTCTGGAGTAATTTACATATTATTATTAGAAGGTATTCATATGATTTATTATTCTTGGATGATTACATCATGCGAGTTGGAGCATACAAATGTGTAAGACTGAAATAAATAACAAGCTTAAAAATATCCACATAAATGTATTTTATCAGAATGGGTTCTTGTGGAGATTTTTAGAAATTTCACTGGTTAAAATCATGAGTCAATTGAAGCTAGAACACCATGAAAGGCCTGGAAACACTGGACGGTCGTTTCGTCCTAGTATGGGACTCCTCAGCAGTGCGCATCCACGATCCTGCCCCCTCGAGATTCGAACCCAGGACCTATCAGTCTCGCGCCAGGCGCTTAACCAACTAGACCACTGAGCCGGCATCCAACGGTGTTAACGTCTAACTTCAACCAATCCACGAAGTGGTCTAGCTTCAATCGGCTTATGATTTCAACCAGTGAAATGTATTTTACTCCAATAAAAAGTTTTCAGACATTTAGTTTTAAATTTCAAAGAAAATATCCACTTACTGTAAAGATGGTAACACAAGTGATGTATCTCTGTTTGTTCTTACGGTTTCCATGAAATTTGTTGCCAAAGTTATCTTCGGATTTTCTTGAATCATCTCATCACTATGTCCCTAAAATGTTGTTATAGAATCTATTTTGTCAATTCAGTAAATGACACAATATAAACAAACACATCGGTTTGTTTAAACGACATAGTCATTATGCTTGAAATTATGAATTTATGTTATAGTATGTCGATTACATATTAACTGGAATAATTTTATGGGAATACGGGGTGGGAACTGTTGAAACTAACAAATCCTACTAAATTATTTCATAGGTATAGGTATAGGTATAGGACTTGACAGTTTCACATAAATTGAGCATTGAGTAGAGAGTTAATAATAATTATATTTATGTTATATCCCAATCAGTAGAAAAAAATATATTTCTGACGTTTCCTGACTTAATGTAAGCAACTTTTTCAGAGCAAATATTATTGGGCTGTACATCGTTGATTATCAGACTATTTCACTCTGTAAGCCTATAGAACACAAACATGAAAACTTCACCACACAAAATTTATCCGACGGTGTTATTATTATACAGAACTTATTTAAGTTAGATTATGACTCCCAGCGGAATCCAGGACATGTATTGATGTTTATATTGAGATCCGAATGCAGTATCTTATGCTCCAAACACCAACTATCTGGCTCTAATAAAAACTTGTGACCAAGTAGGAATATCAGTGCGGTCCTCTCAGAACGTACATATCCTAATAGAAGCTGAACAATTTCTGCCTTTAACTACAACTTGAGTGATACAGTTCATTACAAAATTGTTTATTAGTTTGAAGCAATCGAAAAACCTTTGAAAGTAGGCCTAATATTTTATTAAGATGGTCTAGAATCAGTTTCAACGAATAGTCACAAAAAATCTACACAAATAAAGTAGCTGATATATTTGTCAAGCATCTTTGATCTTCTTTCACTTTGTTCCCATTTGTTTTAGTTGTTTAAGATGTTCCAGCGTTAGAAATTATATAAATATTATATTTCATAATATCAGTCATTGCAAACTGTTTCATGGATCGATAAATTATTGTTAACTAACGTTATTCGATCCTCCCGTTATCACTATGTGATAACATTTCGAATGTAAATGTATTTGTATTTAATGAGGGTTATAATGAAATGAAAATAACTCGTTTAGGTAATCTCTGGGCCTCACCGAACAGATGAATCTGGCATTAAGTACTCGATCGCTGGGACAGCCAAGAAAAGCGTGACAAAGCCTCCAGAGGCTCTCAAGTATCCGAAGAGATTCCGTCTAATCAGAACCTGATAGAGCCTTCTAGAATATCAACGTGGCACGCTACGATTGGACAATAGTATAACTGGTATACTTGCGGATTGGCTGACTCATAATGATTTGATACTCGATACTAATAGGTATAAATACCCCATGTTTTTCTGTCCATTTTTGATTCTTACCCAACAACCAACTCCCCTACTTTTACCGTCTTTTGATTTGCGAATGTAGGGTTCTACATATTGAAGTGCCGTTAGTTGTGTACCGCATCTGACGTAAAATGAAAAATTGACATCAACTTATCGGAAAAGAATAAAACTCGTATCCCAAACGACACTGATAACTGTAACCAACTATGAACAAAATTAAATCACGAGCGATATCAAAGTGTCATAACAAAACGAGTGTTCTAGCATAGAGTGTTCAGATCGGAAGTCGACAGGAAATTCTGGGCCAAAATTTAGTGCTGCACAGCACCTGTCAGCAATGTGTACGTGTAGTAATGAGGGAATTGGTGTTCCCTGGTGGACTCAATCTCCTTTCACTTGGATCCACAGTCACTGTTGAAGTATTCGGACCACTACTGACTTCCCGTATGTTTCAGGAAATTCTACAAATGTGAATAATCGCTAAATATCAAAGGTTTTGAATAAAATATTATTACTATTTCTTACTTTAGTTTGTGAATAACATTTAACTGATAATAATTCATCTACTCTTTGTTCTAATACGTTAAGATAAAGCATTAAATTTCTTTCAGTTATTTGATCACCATCACCGCCAAGCATTTCGGTTATTCTAGATAAATCACAACCAAGTTTTATGGTTAACTGTTTTATTTCTGTTTTAATTTGATCTAATAATTTATGTATATGTATTGTACGATTTTCAGCTGTATTAGCTGCTTCTTTATCAGACTTGATTTGTGCCTAATGAATGAGAAAATATAAAGGGAGAAACTATAAAGAGTATGACATTTTACATTATACAGTCAATCATAGACATAACAGGATCCGGCAAAAATGTATGCTTAAAAAGTCAATCCCTTGATAAGTTTGGATAATGCAACGACAAAGGTAAAGGTTATCCGAACTATGTGACATATATGCTTGAAACATTTCGAACAATCTGATCACAAATATACCCATTAAGACATTACACACGATAAAACAAAAGATCATCTAGACAAACCGGAACGTAAGAGGAAACCAAGACAATAATAGTAATAAAGTACATAGTGTGAAAACCACGCTGGATAATAAATCAGCATTACCAGGGTAGGTTAGGATGTGAGAACAAACTGTTTCAGGATACATAAAGAGGGTTTCAGTCTTCGTCCAACCAGTTCTTCAAGAAACATCAGTATACGCCATTTATTTAACACCACAAAGTTTGACTTGATATCAATCGTGCGGTCAGTTTCAACCAAATGATTCCCAATGGAGGAAGGTAGTTATCTTCTCCATTTTCTTATTCAATCATTGGGGGTTAACTGTTTCGACATTCATTTAAGTGTGTGATCAGCCACCCTTTCGTTTATATCATAATTGTTCTCCCAGATGTCCGTGTTTCCGCACATACATGTAAAACTGATAGATATAATGCAATATGACATAATTATTTACTCGATCTTTGTGATTTCGCATGAACATAGACCCCTTTAATGATGATCAGTTGAGCTGCGTAAAATGTCTTACTCATAGCAAATTTGATTTTTCGTTTCGACATAAGACTAACTGAGCCGCCTCTGAATGGTGGATTATTTACCGTCGGGTTAACAATATGTCATGTTTGATGATATTAATAGCTCTGTATGTTAGTTTAAAGATTGAATTTCGTAATTTGCTAACTACCAAGTGTTTTTAAGAGGTGAATCGTACAAATGTTTACTGTTGGACGTATTTATCACTGATTCTTGTAAACGCATTTTACGTTTGAACGTTTTAATTTGGATAGATCTAAATAGGTTGTTGTCAACCTTAAATTTAATCGAGTAAGATGTCCTTAGCCTAAATAATCACTGTATCATGTGATCGCATATTTCTCATACTTTGATCGACCATTATTGCATGTCATGCAGCAGTGCGTTTTCACTACTGATGTTATTGAACAGAACGACGTACATTATTATGATATAGCTTAACTTTATAACTCCTTGTTGCTTCTTTTTTTGAAAGTATGACCAGTATCTACTGCAGTCGTGAATTCAGGATTGAATTATATTTAAATGAGATCAAGGTTAAATGAAATTATAATACGTATCAAACGTTAGATTGATACAGGAACGATAGCTGTATCAGTCTTATGAAGAATAAATTAACAAAGTCCAAGTGGAAATTTGTTCTATCGTTTAATCCCAATGGGATGTCTCTTACTGAAGATAAGCATTTCCCTGTATGTTCCCCTAACATAAACATGAGTAAAAAACATCAGTCCTTAAAAAAATGCTAGGCAACTTTCTGGCTCAATAACTTTTGATGATATATTCTGAACAGTATGGATTTAATATGATAAAGCCAGTTGCCCATAGAAACGTCATCTGTAGCTGGTCCTTTTTGAGCTAGCTCATTGCTTCCGATAGTTTCATTAATATCATCTGGATTTTGTCCACAAGTTTCTCAAGATGAAATCTTCATCCATATTGAGAGAAACCGAGAAGCGTCAACAACTTACATATCTACAAGAAAATGTAATTTTATTAACTTCATTGTATGTCCACTTTTTCATTTTTCATTTATATTACTTAGTTAAACTATTCAAGGTGGTTATGATTGGATAACTTGGTAATGGTACAATGTTTGTAAAGTTTTCGATTGTATCGAGATGTTCGAATTCACTTTTTTAAAATAACCAGATCAGTATTAGACCAATGAAATTCCAAGTCGAATATATCAGGCTTTGTTTTGTAAAACTTGCGGATAAGAGATCATATCTATTGATTTCCAACAACTAAGTTTCTGTTTTTAACCCTGATCTATCTACTTCAGTTTGAGAAATCAGGATAGTACCATTAGTATTTACGTAAAATGTATGTCTCAGTGTTGACCACACAAATGTATTCTTGATTTATGGATTGCTATAATTGATAGATCAATCATTTTAATATGCAAAATAAGTAATAATACAAACAAAAAACGTACCTGTAATTCAGTCATTTTATTAACTCTTTGTCTTTCAATTACTTTTTGTTCTTCATCGTATTCATGAATTGTTTTCTCTATATTTATGATATTATCATTTAAGCATTCAATCTAATCATATATAATTTGTTTAAATGTATTATTAATTAGTTATTATTATTTTTTACCTGATTATTTAATTCAGTCACATATTTAAACATTGTAAAGTTATCATCTTCATTACGTTTATAATATCTAGTCATTTGTTCAACATCAGATTTTCCAGTGATTAATTGTAAACGATTCATTGCTGATTCATATTCTTGAATTTTTAAACTTCTTTGTTGTTGTGCTATTTCACCAGTAGCACCTAAATAAATTTTTTTTAAAAAAAGTGCATTTAGTAACCATAATATTAATAATTTAATTTAGATATTTAGTGAATTATGGTGAATATAACTATGAGATTTGTTAGCGTATCACTAAAGACAAATACTTCATTCAAGTAATTCATCTATGATATTCAACCATTGAGTATAATGTTTACCATTTCATGAAAAATTAGAACTTTGCAAAATTGTATTTCACTTCATTCTACTTTAATAATACAATAAGACAACTAACTAGATGGAAAAAATATACGTAAATATGGGCGAATTCCTTTATTATTATTTAAAACAATAGTAGTGTGGTGCGTGCTACTGATATTGACATAATTAGTATATAACGCGAGTCAGGAATGTAATATCTGGCAGCAGAAGATTGGGAAGATCAAGAAAGGAAGAACGGGTATAGAAAGCTATTAATATAGAAATGCAAGAACAATGAAGTCCGAGACAATCATTGAACATTTTGCAAATTTGGGTATTATAGTATGGTTTTTCTGTTTTACCAAGTAAATCTGTAATGTTGTGCTAATTCTGATTCGGATGTCCTCATCTGTGTTCTCCTTCACTACAGTAGTAATAAATATGAAAGTGATTTCATTCAGTTCATAAATTTTAAATTTAATGAATTTTGGTACCACAGCAATTCTAAATAAAATGTAATTCAAGATGTTAGATGGCTTGAGGCAGTCAGTATGAAACTCTGAAGCTAGTAGGCATTAGTCAACAAGGTATACCTAGAACCTTAAAGGGATTAATCCAGGTTACACATGTTCACAGTCTAAGATGTTATTGACCATCGGACATCCCAAAACAGGGCAAAAAAATTTGAGTTATTAAACTAATGGTCACACTGAGAATTGTTTGGTAAATTTTTATCCATATTAAAGCATTAGATAAATATGAGATTAGTTACTATTCGGCAATCAATCAATTTCGCAACGTAACTAATTAATCATTAGATACAAAAGTTGGTAACACCATCGAGAGCAATTTACAAACTTATAGAAGAAGGCTAAAGTATTGTCAACTGCCGTCTTAGTAATATTAACTACAAGCGACTGGTAATATTAGGTAACATAATTCAGAGTTTAATACGGTAGTTAATTTACAGTTAAATATTCAGTTTATACGTTCGCTTTTCATTTGGCTGATAAAAACTGGTTCTTTATTCTATAAGCTGTCATACCGAATGTTATATTTTTTTCAATTTATTTGATCAATCAAAATCTCTAATTATGTACTTAATATTTAACGCAATTACTTTATCTGCATATATTTTAAAGTGAATAATAATATTCAATATATATCATGTTCAAATAAACGTCTGTGAATAAGCCAGTACATTACCTATCAATAGTATGTACAGCGTGAAATTTCATAAAATTGTGTTGTAAATTTTAGTAACCCCCTATTCTCGAATTAACAGATTTCGTACAATTAATGCGATCGATAGTTAAAGAATTTGGATGATGTAGTTTGGAATCATCGATCAAAATGGGACACACGCTTTCACTTTTTTTCCTCACTTTGATACTGGGTTTCAATATAATCTTATATTGTAAATTCATAATTTTTCCCTGAATCATATTTCCTTTTCCTAATCTTTCCTATCACCACTGTTTGTGACACTCTGTTGATGAGTCTATTTTTTTATATTATAATAATTTCATCTCGTTGTGCTGAACCCATGTACATTTGTACCAGGTTCTATGTTGCTTATATCTAACCGAAATAAAGAATAACAACTTTCTTTTAATTAAATAATATAATACATTAACAGTTTAGGGGTTGTGGAGATTGTTAAGATTTGATTAAGGTCATGAGCCGATTGATGTTAAACCACCATTGAAAACCTGGAAGCATTGGACGACCGCTTCGTCCTATTATGGGACTCCTCAGTAGTGAGTATCCACGATCCCTCTCGGGGGATTCCAACTCAGGGCCTTCAGTCTCGCGTGCGAACGCTTAACCTACCGGATCACTGAGCCGGCATCTAATGGTGTTAGTGTTTAACATCAACCAATCCACGAAGTTGTACGACCATCTTCCATTGTACTGAGATAGACACCTGTTTCTACCCGACGCAGATTAACTCTACTGGTCACGGCTTATCACTAGAACTCCGAGGATTGAAAACCAAAGGACTTGGGTTCGAATCCCGCGAGTGCGACTGTGGGTGCGCACTGCTGAGGAGTCCCACAATAGGACGAAACGACCGTCCAGTGCTTCAGGGTTCTCAATGGTGGTCTAACATCATCTGTTCATGATCTCAATCAAAAATTAATAATAGTACATTCACTTTATATAATAAATGATTCATACTTACCATATTTACGTCGACGATTTTCTGCTTTCTGTTTCCAATCTAAACGTTCATCTGATTTAATTGTCATAAATCTTCTTAATTGGTCATTATGATCAATAATTCTTTGTAAATCTTTCATTTCAGTTTCAAATCCAATATTATCTTTATCATTTTTTTCTTTCAATGCATTACTTTTATTTTTGGCATCCGCTCTTAAATTAATAATAATAATAATAATAATAATAATAATAATAATAATCTTACCTTTGATCATATGTAAGACTTGCTTGTTGAATTAATTTAATTTTTAATTTATTCAAATGTATTAATTTATCTTTTAATTTTTGATGTATTGCATAATAAATATTTCGTTCATTTCTAGCACATTCTATTTCATGGCGTATTTTATTATTATATGCTAATGTATCACAAAATTTCATATTTTTCTAGAAACAAAAAAAGATTTTTTTTTGTGTGTGTATGTTTACTTACTTCATGTAAATTGTTTTCCATAGTAACTAATTTTTTTTCAATTTGTAATTTTAATTCATTGGTTTCAGTTTCTTTTTTAGTTTGTATCATACGAATTTGTTGTTTTTCTTGGATAAGATTTTCTATTTTACGTGTCTATTTTTAAAAAAAAATAAATATTTATTTATTTTAGATGAGTTTCGCGGATATTATAGTAATTTCAATGGTTAAGATCATGAGACAGTTGAAGCTAGACCACCGTGGGAAACCTGGAAGCACTGGACGGCCGTTTCATCCTATTTTGGGACCCCTCAGCAGTCGGCCTCCACGACCTTGTCCCTGGCGAGATTCGAATCCAGGACCTATCAGTAACTCTTTGAAGACAATGGTGGATGTGTCGCTCGATTTCATGGATTAGTTGAAGTTAGACATTAACATCGTCGGATGCCGGGTCAGTGGTCCAGTGGTTAAGTGCTCGGGCGCGAAACCAGTAGGTCCTGGGTTCGAATCTCGCAAGGGGCGAGGTCGTGGATGCGCACTGCTGAGGAGTCCCAAAGTAGGACGAGACGGCCGTCCAGTGCTTTCAGGTTTCCCATTGTGGTCTAGCTCCAACTGGCTCATGATCTTAACCGTTGAAATTTATTTATTTATTTATTTTGCTTACCTCATTATCTAAACGTTTTCCATAAGTTTTTAATTCATCAATTTGTAATTGTATATTATCTTGCTCTTTTAAAATTTGTTTTAATTGTTCAATACATTTCATATCTTGTTTTCTATTTTGTTCACTATCTACTAATGTTAACAAACATTTAATTTCTTCATTTTCTTTTTCTAATATTTCTGTAGCTTTTCTAGATTTTGGTTTTGTTTTTGGTAAAATAATTATGTATATTATCATAACATTACTTATATTTTCCTAGTTTAACAGTAAATTCTTCAGTTTGTTTTTGACGTTCATTTTGTAATATTCTTAATTGATTATTTAATCGTTCATATTCTTCAATTAATAGTAAATCAGTATTGTCTTCTTGTTCAGATTGAGCTGAAGCTGGTCTTGGCATTTTTCTGGAGAAATAATGTTGAACTAGATCTAAAATGAAAATGGTTAATGCCTATAATCGGTTTATCATATTGAACAATAAAAAATAATCGATAATAATACAACTACTTATTTTCCAAAGCGCTTGGAGTCAAGCTGTCGAAACTGACCAAAGACATGGTGAAATTCTGTGTTTTATGGTCTTACAATTTTCATTAAATTTTTTAGACCCCATATTGCAATTACATGTACTGGGATATTGATAATTAATTCTACTGTGACAGAAATCAAAAAACAGAATGTAAATTAGTTGATAGTTTTCTAGTTCAACATTTTTCCTGTTTGATTCTCAATACTGAATTAGTAGTATAGATCTTGCCTTATTGCTCGCCATAGTACCGACTAAACTGAAGGAATATGTGCTGCTTTTTAACGCATCAAAAGTTCGACTAAGACGCAATAAAAGTTTGATATAGCTCTATCACTTTTGGTTTACGAATATCATCTCATAATTCAAATTTCTTATCTTTTTACTTCCATAAGCAGAATGACAATCAATATACAAATGATATTCTATAATGGGGATTTAGGAATGATATACTTCCGAATTTTTTGAACCAGTTTGAATTATGCCAAGAGATACCACATATAAATGTGTAATCTGAAAACCAGCAATATCACAGTGAAGCATATGACTATGGGCACATAGTACTGGATGAATTGCAAAGCATGGTGAATAGGAATTAAAGAGGGAAATTGACCACGAATACAGTGGTCTTGAGTGCTGTTAGAGGTATGAGAGCGGTTATCACTTCCCGGTTTCGCACACCGTGGAAAGGTTCTTCTAGATTTACCTAGAAAGGAAATTGTATTAGAATTGGTCTTAAGGACATGAGAGGATGACCGCAATGCCCAAGAGACGACTAATTGAGACCGGTCACACACGATCTTCGTGTGTGTAATTTTTCTATTAGATCCTTACTTGTAGGAACCTTACCGCTGGAGACGCATATCCGTGGGATAAGGCGAGATGTGCATTTTTGGGTGGAACTTTTCTAAGGCAGCGTAGCTGTTATGCTGGTTATATGAAGGAAACACCCTACTGCCGTCACATCTCTGTATAGTCAGCAGTAAAACTTTACCCCCCGACCCTATATTTTTGCTGCTTTTAGTCTTACTGTACCTCAACCGACCTGTTTATCATGATACGACCTTGAAAAACGATTGTTTCAGCCAGTATAGTTCGAATAGTTCATTACGATAGGCAAGTTCGACCACCATGTCAAGGTAACAGAAACGGCTGGGTTATTGATTTTAAGCCTTTAAAATGAATGTAATAGGTTCGTAAACACTTGTTCATTAGCACTCTTATAATTTGCTTGGAGATTTAGGAAAAAATATATCAAAAGGAGGTGACAATGTCTCGTAATTACGTTTTGTCAGACTAATTCTAGACTAGAAATGGTTCATATAAAAATATATTTAATTTTTATCTATTTTAAAAACAAAGTTCTTGCTAGTCAGCTGACTATAACTGTTTGTTATTAGTTTTTTATAACTTCTCATTTTTCGCTGAACAAATTCTATGAACAATAGGAAGTCAGTGAATTTCCTTTGTTTAACATTCGTTAAATGTTTAGCAGGATTCCATATATTTGACTTTTATTAAGACTAAGAAACATAAGTCTCATGGAATCTACTCACATAAATAAAAGGTCTCCTGTTGACTGGAAGTGCAACAAAAACTTTAGTACTTAAAATTACTGTAAACTAATGTTCCTTAAGTAATGATGCGAAATTTCGTTTGGTGTATTTTTTATGAGAAGAACATCATCTATTATTATAGAATCTTTCGTGATAAATTGTGCTGATGCAAGAAAATAAAAAAATAACGGGTTAGATGACCTTTAATCTAATCTCAATGCTTTATCTAACTAGTTTGAGATATGAATAATGCTTCTTAGCTTAACTGTGACTTCATCCACATAGATCGACATGGTTATATTACTTACAATTCAGCTGAAAGTCTCCAAACTAAGTCCTTACTCATAATACTTTGAGAATCATCATGAAACATGGGTTAATGTATGTAGTTCCCTAGAGTCCCATCACGCTTAAGTGTTTCTAAACGATATGAGCTGCAATCGCTTCATCGGTAGCAAGACAACTGCATCTTAAATAATGAAAGAATAGGACAAGGAAAAAGCCATAAATAGTTAAGTAAGAATTATCCTCATTTACAAGTTTCCTTTCATCACAGAATCGAATCTACAGGCAGCGTCACAAAATATGCTACTTATTGTAGGTGTCAACTTAGACGCTGAACTAAAAGTATCGATTCCTTTATGCTGGGGGAAGTTAAAAACAAATAAATCACAAAATTAGTGGGTAGTTTCTGATATTAATCTGTTCTCACAGTGGCTTAGATAAATGGTCAGTTATGATTACGGCTCATTGCCATTTCGCTGCAGCTAAATGTTTTATAACGGTTTGTGTGTGGAAGGGAGGCAAACGTAAGTTCAACATTCACTACAGGCAAGTAAGGCACAAACGAAAAATGTACACGAGTCCTCGTGCCCATGGCGACTGAAATTGATTGAAAAGGGTCCTAAAGACCACGAAACATGTAGTTAAGAGTTGGAATAAGCTTGTCATGCTTGAAAAACCTGCTCACTGCGAGAGAAGATTGGGATAAAGCTAAATTGAAAGTAATTCTGTAGATGTATTTTTCACAGATCTAAGTAAACCTTTCAACATGGACTCCCATCCGTGTCCTAAATCAAAAGTGGAACGTTATGGAGTCCATTAGATAACCGTAGACAAGATAAGTAACTTTCTAAAGATAAGAGAAAACAAGTGCGCCTCAACGTATTACTGTTATCTTGTTGCAGGTTACGAAATAGTATAATAATGGCTTACCGTATACTGAACAATGATCTGAGTATTAACATGTCCTAAATCTTCCTCCCATTCAGGACTGATCATCTGCGAAAACATTCTAGGGAAGTTTAAAAACCAATATCGAATCTTCTACGTCTAGATTTTTTATACTCTCACAGAATAGTGAATAGCCTGAATTGTCTACTAGAACACGCAATAACAACCCTTATGTTGTCACGTTCAGAGCGTGGTTGGGTATGCACAGTACCACGATTTGTAAGGATTAACATAAGTTCATTGATATTTTATTCCTTCTTCTGAAAGCTCAAAAGTAACACATGAAAGTAAGTAGCTTCAAAAATGATTCATTGAAAAGATCAGGGCGAGTTCCAGAAATTAGTGGGCTAAGTAATTAAGGTTTACTTATCATTGCCGACACTTTCGGTTGACTTCTTCAAAGGGTCACTGACCATATATGGAAGCATGCAGATTTCAGATTCAGATTTGTGTAGTAAGGACTGAAGGACTACGGCCATGTTGGATAATTAATACAGAGCTAAGGTTTTCAGTCTTTAAAGCATCGATCCGAGTTTAAAATCATACCTTAGAATTAAAAGAGTGGCAGAACAATAGTATTTTCGGAAAAATGTGTGCAACTCAACTTCATTTCATCGAAAATTAATTTCAAATTATTTAAGTACAATGTGCTCCCGTTAAACATTGAGAATGTTATTAGGCCATAAGCAATCTACAAAACTCTCAGATATGAAAACCATAAGAGTCAGTAATCTGGATTCTGTAGGGTACGAACATTTACAAAAAGCAATAGCAACAGGTAAGGTTAATTGAAAAATGTCCGACACGTAACTATGACAATAATGTAGGTCATTCCAAATTCAATACTAATCTGATGGAATCTTGTACTTTGTGAACTAATATTGACAGTCCTGAACCCCCCTACACATCTTATATCTCTTGAAAATTTTGAGCAGCCCATTATCTTCTAAAGTTCTAGTATATTCGGCATATATACGAACTTTAGCAGATTTGATGCAAAATTAGTGAGATTTGTTGAAAGAGGTCAGACTTTATAAGGTCAAGTAACATCATGTTATTAAGTGGATGGGGTGCAGATGCATGATGTATGTCGTAGCGTTGTGCCATTCCTCCATAGTCTGAGAGAACAAAAATACCATGACATGTAAAATTAAGTTAGTGTATGGTATTTTAGCAAGGTACAGATCCACTGTTTACCGTTTGGCGTATCAGATCATGTCCGATTCAACGACTGATTTGCCAATTGCATTCAGAGTTTGATAACGTTTATTTCTGCATCAGCTTTATAACCAAAGCTTTATAACCAACCAATTCAAACAAATATTGCGTGGGGTGTAAGTTCAGATATATATTGAAAGGCTGTGGATATGTTGAGAAGCGCTTTAACTTAAGATGTCTTGTAACTTAAAGAGATGCGTCACACTGCCTACTCAATCGTTACCAGATGCGCTGGAATTTAAGCTTGGTTTTGTCCAGTGAAATTAATGAGATCAGCGACAATGTCGGAAACCTAATAAAGTTGTTGTTTTGGGGATTTATTTTTATCGACAGTTTTAATGGAGGAAACTTAACAAGTACTGATAGCGGCATTGTATTCTAAGATATCGATGCTTGTTTTATTTATATGTGACCTACACAGAAGTGGTGGTGGGTCCCGGTTGCCAGAAACAGAAACTTGTTACGCGAAAGTTGCTTGTATTCCTGTTATATCTCCTCGAATATTTAGGACTCTTAGAACATTAGTTTTTCTGTATTTACACCATAGGAAAACTTTACGTTAAGCAATGCTTTCAAACTAATGCGCATGAAAAATTTTCAAAAAATGCAGGAAGTTTGACAATGAGGATTGATGGATTTTCAGTTTGTTTTAGTACATCTGACAGTTTAAACAAGTATGTGTCTAATGTGTACTGTTTGAGGTAGGCGGGCTGTTCTAAGTTTTTGCCTCCAGCGCTAACGGTGCTGAGTTTTCATGTTGCGCTCTGCTGGTTGAATCCACTTGCTTTACACTAAGGTTTCCTTTTGTTTTCAAGGTGTTGAGATTTTCCATTCTTTCACTGGTATTTTTATTTGCGAGTTACCTTTCCGACCTCTGATTTTACACCTATCTTCTTACAGTTTGGAATCAGTGATTTGGATTAGGCGTCGTTATATAATATAGAATCTTCCAAACTAAATGTAAACTTAAAATATTACTCAGATCGAGATTTGATTTGTGACAAAAGTACCAGCCTGTCAGGATTGAATAAGCGTATATGTCAGCAGCGAGTGTTGTTGTAACATTGGTTTCTACCATATTATCACTCCTTTTATTCCGGCATATGATGCTTTTTTTAGAAACCCTAGTTACCGACTGTTATGACCAATCAGTGTGTTAGTGCTGTTGAACGGCAAATAGTTTTGCCAAATATTTCAAGTCTTCCGTTTGTAAATGCCTTGCGAATTAAATTGTTAGATCGAGTGTTTTTCTATTTTGGTTATCACTACTGTTGACATAAACATAAGAGAAATTTAAAAGTGATGTGGTGCGTGAAAAATGCGTCACTAGTGTAGTGTAATAAGACGTAACCGAGATAAAATTAATTTTCTATGACAATAATTGTTTGAAATCGTTACGTTACCGGAGTCCCTGTACTTGTTTCCTATATTCTAGCGGCTCTTCATTCAGTTGAAATGACTCTCTAATAGTCCGTCGTTTTAGAGTCCTTCGCTCTAGCTTTTTTATTGTCGTTTTCCTCTTTTAGTGGAGAGTGAAGAACCGTTCATGTGAAAATATAAAAAAACTAGGAATCAAAATAAGATACTAACCAATAATTGGGTGCACAAAATTTCTGTTAAACTAGGTCGACGTGAAAGTAACTTTGTATTAACATGGGCTTATATAGTACGTGACACGACTTTCATCTAACCATGGAATATTTCTAAACGGTAAAGTTCAGTCAAATAATACATATGCTGTCCTTCCATAGGATGGTTAGAATCAGGGATTGAATATAGGTTTTTTTGTCACAACCCGACAGCCAAAAAGCTATGTAGCAAATATGAATGAGTGAAATTCGCGCCAAAACTCATGACATGTCATTCCAAATCTGTTTGGTTCGTCAATAAATTGGTCTTGCTGAACATTTCTTTCAATAGATTCTATTCTCTTCTCCAAACAAATAATCCAGAAAGTTTCCAGGGTTCGGGCGAATTACATCGTTTACAATTATAGCATGTCAATATAGGATTATGTAATAAAATTTCTGTTGAGATGACTAGTTCGGAACGTTAACTGGAATATGCTTATACGTTAAATGTAATTGTGAGATTAATAATTTTAATGAATATAGATTGCTTGTATTGGAATAATTTATTTGAAAGTACATTCTTTGTCTATATATTGGTGTTATAAGTAACATTGTTAGTATGTAATGTCTCAGCCAGTATTCCTCTGTTCTAATTCTGACTTATCATAATCGTTTGGACAGTATATTATTTCCTTAAGCGACCACGGTAAGTAGTAAAGTGATTACTTTCAACCCTGTACCTCTAGTTTTGACGATTATTAGTGTCAGGCTTTCTTATAAAACCGTAGGTAAATTCCTAGTTAAGCTTCAATTAATGTGGTAGTCTTTCTTAGATCTTACAAATCGACTGTGGTCAATTGTATACAAACAACTGACCGCTATGCAGTCTTGGAATATGGTTTCCAATCTTAGATTCGGCAAAATCACTGCACTAGGTATTCGTATAAACCCCAATTGCGTGATAGTTTGGGGGCAACTACTCGACGTTACTTGAGCTCTTCATGCATGTTTCAGAGATAGCATTTACATGTAGTAGTAGTAACTCCTTTAAACAGTTAAGTCAGTTGTCTAGTTTTAAACGAAATATAATCGTTTAGGGTTCAATCCACCCGAAAAGAAAGTTTAATATGATATTAAAAATGCCTGTTCTTTTGTTTAAACCACTAATTTATGCAGCAAAACTTCCGGGGAATGCAATAGCAAGTATTGGTTAGGATAGTTTTATAAAAATATAGGTTTAATTACCACACATATACTACATTGCCAAAGGTTTAATAGCCAGTGACAAAACTTCACTCTTAGTTAATCGTCCTTGTGTCACAGACAAAGTGTTGTACGAACACAGCCTAAATGGGCTTCCTTTTAGCTTTTAAAATACGGTAAGCATTAATCAAGTCGTTGGATATGACATGCCATTTCTAGGCTGATTTTTCAAACTCACTGTCGAAAGCTTTGCTCAAAGATAAGTTAGCCGATAGAGATGCTATCATTGTATTCTAAGACATTCAGCACTGTCGCTACGCTACTCCCATAACAAAAAGTAACTAAGTCAACATTTACTAGGTATATGGGCATGAGCCATACTATGTAAGGACTAACGAGAGCATTGTTAATGACTCAGTGGGCTCCGTCTTTTAATGGTCGCTTTGAAATAAGATAAAGTATGGTTTTTTAGGATCTGTGCTATCAACAGTTTATATAACACAAGGTTAGCATATTTAACTATCATTATTATCATTTTGGTTATTATATATTTTATACTAGTGCTTTGGGTTTTAAGATGCCTCTTATCAGTACGAAGCTACATGTATTGAACCCGGTGTGGAGAAAAAAGAAACCTCGTGACACTGAGCAACACGAAGAACCCGAACCAAAACCAGCATTTATCGTCCCAGAAACTCAAGAAATTTGTACATCTGCCGAGGAACTGCAGCGCAAAATTACTATATATAATGAAAATATATGGACTTGTCGTGTAACTGGGAAACCTAATTTAACTTATCGGGAAGCATTGAAAACTGAAGCAACTGCTATTCGGACACTAAAAAAGTGTTTCCCCAAGTTTTTTGAAAAAACCATCCTTGAGCGCGTCCATCTCAGTAAGCTTATCTGCTCATAAATTTAACAATACAAAAGGTACTCTACCCCTGGAATCCTTGGTACACAGCTGCTGGACCACCATACATGAACAATTTCATATTGCGGAACCTGTGAAACTAAAAGTTGACTCTGTTTCGAATACACCGTAAGTTCACTTAAAAATAATAACATCGACTTAGAATACGTGGAATAATTGATGATATAATAAAATCTCAAACTGTACCGGTACGATGTGAATCTGTCCTAATTCATTTAATCCTAGACACCTGTTCCGGATAACACTTCACCGAATAATAGTGACAAAGAAAATGTGACTAAAAAGAATTCTCCCATCAAGGTAATTTTCAAACCCTTGTAAAGTATTTTTCTAGAAAAACTACGCTTACAGTGTTAAAGTCCTTTCGGATATCCCTGTTGTTGTACATGATGTTCCAGCCTGTTCCATTGAGTAAGATTTCCTAATGACTAGTTCTCATTCTTTTAGCCGTATCAACCGAGCACCTTCCAAAGACCATATCAAAATGTTTATTCGAAGTCATGCTATGCGTTATGGACCAAACTTTACAGGTCCATGGATTGTAAATGAGGAGCTTTTACGACGTCATAAAATACCTTTAAAAAGTCCCGGATGTCAAGTTGATAAAGTTAAGGTATGTCTAGTCTACTGTTAATATTTAATCTACTCATGTAAATGTTGCTTTCAAATAACCTTATAGTTTAGAAAACTTCATTTCATTGATATCAGGACTTATATTTCCCCGTTATTGATTCGTAGAAGTGAATCAGTCTACTGGCAGTTGGTTATTAGTACTGATATCTAGAATGTACGCTGTTGCAGTACAGTGGAGTCGCTTGGGTGTTTATTTAAAAAAAAGTAGACACGTTTAAAGTATTTCTATAAAACTGTTGAATAACAATAACGATCTATGATCTTTCCAACTTTGGTTTACTATCGATTTTTATAGTATATGCAGATTATCATGTTTTTATCACCGTCAATGATTGTTATAGTTAAAACAAATGTCCAAAGCCCTGGAGGAGGAATACTTTGTACGCGTTATGAACTCCCGACGTCAGTCCAACGGAGAAGGTACATCAGATGATGTTACCTCAAGCACACCACTTAATTTTAAACGTATCAAACGCTTCTCTGTTCTACGTGAAGACAACACTCCCAAGATGCTTGAAGAAAATGAAGATAACTTACCGCTAGCTCAGTTAAAAGATCGTTCTCAATTTAAACAATCGTTGGAGGATAGTAGAAAAAAGAAAATGAAACAGGTTTGTTTCTGTGATACTTAGTTTTTAATTTGTGTTTATTTTCTTTATTGAAAGTTCCATCTGAGAAATCTTTGGAGTTGCTTTAGGAAGTGAATTTTTTTCGAGACGCTTCCGTCTATCTACGTTAGATGGTTACGGGTATTCGGAGGAGACCCTGAACCTAGGTTTTGTGCCAGTTGGTCGATACTAGTCAACAAGACGTACCCGGAGTCTTGTGGAAACTGACGTCCTCCATCGGATTCAAACTCGTGTCACCCAACTTCAAAATCTAAGACGTTATCAATCAGCTACTGGGACGACTATTGAATTGTAGGACTGAGGTGTTTATATTGATTGATCATTAAGTAGTTGCCAACGTTATCTATAAACTACAGGTTTGACTTGTCCTCATTTATTCACACTGCTACTCTTGTGGTGTGTTTAAATTACTGTTAAGATCCGCAAAAGTTCTTCGTATCATTGGTTGATCGGTTCATAACTTCAATGAAGCTAAAGGAATGTTCAACATTAACAATACTGTCAGTTGTATATTTTTGGGCTTTCAGTCAGCCCACAGTGGTTCGAATGACTTTTCTGGTCATGATTTTTTTAAACGAAGTTTTCTACGGGACAGGGTTGACAACTCCATCCCTCCTTTTTCCCGGATTGGGAGCGAGAGTAATCCGTAAAGATCTACAGACAGAGCAATAGGCCTCAATATGCATAATGGAAAAAGCAAGGTCCTCGAATACATCTCAGTGAGCACCAACCCAATCACACTTGGTGGGGATAATCTTGTAGGTGGAATCTTTCACGTAGCTGGTCAGTAGCATCACTGATGAACGTAGAATATCTGATGTAGACGTAAAGGCGAGGATTGGGGAAGCAAGGACAGCATCCGTAGAGTTGAACAACATATGGAACTCAAAACAACTGTCAACTAATATCAAGGTCAGATTCATCAATACGAAAGTCAAGATAGTTCTACTGTAAGGAGTTGAAACTTTGAGAACTACTACAACCACCGTCAACAGTTGTCTACACAGGATACTGAATGTCCATCGACCGGATACCATCAGCAACAGACTACTGTGAGAGAGAACAACGTAGCTTCAAACTGAAGAGGAAATTAGGAAAAGATACTGGGTATGGATGTGACACAGATTGAGGAGATCACTAAACTGGATCACGAGGCAAGTACTAACTTGGAATCCTGAAGGGAGACTGAAGAGATAAATACCAAAGAGCACCTTGCGTAGGGAATCGGAGGCAGAATTAGAAAGAATGAGTGGCAATTGGAATCAACTGGAAAGGAGAATCCAGGGTGTATTTGATTGGCGAATTCCTGGTGAGTGGTCTATGTTCATCAACGAGAAGTAACATGTAAATAATTAATTGAGTCACCCAATGAGCTCTTGGTTAATGACACTGTCAAAACAAGCAACCGTTTTAAAATATGTAATATAAGGTACTCTGTTAAGTATGTTGATAATCAAGCTACTTGGAAAGTCGTACCACCCCTATTTGATTTGCAATTACTTAATATCGGCATCCATATAGAGGTCTCATCAATAGCCTTTGACGTGGGCTAAATATCTGAATTGTAAATTATGTTTGATCAGCATCTTAAATAGTTCGTTCTTTCGAACTCGGGGTTCCCAAAACATACCCGTTTTAGTAAGAAAACATCCACTCAATATTTCTAAAGCATCACTCACTTAAAGAAACCACGAAATAGGTTTTTAAATATTCCTTAAATGTAGGCCAAGGGCTTTCCGATTTCGTTTTATTGAAAAAGCTACCTAAGTATTAGTTTTACGGCAGCTTTTCTATAATAATCACGGTAAATTATTTTTTACTTTTCCTATTTACTTAATCAGTCCACCTTATTTCAATTTGGCAAGAAAACTCCTACGAAAGATGAAATACCAGACAAGTCAGCAATCAATCGTCCTAAAAAGAATACTAATGAAAGATGTGCATTACCTCGAGTTGCTCAACATCTCATCAAAATGTTTGGAGAAGATCGTAATAATCCAGCCATAGAAACTCAGATAAGGCTCTGTGCAAAATTCATAAGTGACGTAGATATTCTTAAGTTGCCTGTTGAATTACGCGATCCTGTGCGATCAAAGAAAGAAGCGTTTGCGTTCAAAAAAAAGTTGTAAGTTCAATTCAATCCTTCGAATTTTTGTATTATTGTGTTACGAACATGTACTGATTCGTTTGACATATCCTAATAAAATCTCCGATAATGATTGAAAATAAGGCAGCAGAACAGTGTGTAGCTAAGAGATAATTGCTATACTATAATGTCAATCTATTTTGGATGGTTTTAATAATCGCATTGGAGTTAAGCTTTGTACGTGGAAATTCCTCTCCTTTGTGGAAAAGTTTGCTCATACGATTCGCCGTAAGCGTTCCGCTTACTCAAGACTACTGTTCTCATTGTTCTCCAAGAACAGATATCTCTTAAATTATCAACCATCGGTAGTTCGCTGTGTCTTATTTATTTATTTTAACACAGATATTGGTACAAAAAGGACCAAATACATATGCGCCACACAGATCTCATTTGATATGTGTGAGGGCTGTCATACTGCCCGGGTGCCCAAACCGAAGCAAGTGGTTTTCTTAGGGGGCCACACCCGGAGCCTTCAACCTAAAGGTTTGATCCACAAGGCAGTGGAGCAACGTAAGGAGACGCAGTCCCATGGTAGCCGGTGACCAACAATTGGTTCATACGCCATTTGTTCCCGCAGGATACTGGAGCCCATGTGCACCATTTGTTTGGAATCAGGGTTTTCCAACTCCCCTAGATGGATTCTTCATGTCCACCAACCCAGTTAAAGCGCCGGACACTTGCTTTTCGTTATCTCGATTTCGTAAACAACACTCGTGGTGCGAGAAGGCAGTGAGTATGATCGTATCAAAGTGTATTTGATGTGTTTCAATAAGTGTTGTAAATTTAAAATTAAGACGTTTTTCATCGTCATTCTTTTCTTCCGTTAGTTTTTTTGTCTGAGGATTATCCTTCGAAAATCATCTTGTCTTTCCCCAATCTCATCTGCTACAACTAATTTTGCTAATACTTTTGGTACTCTTGGTTTGTTTTATAATTTCATTTCCTCTTTGCCGACCTTGGTGTTCATCTTGTGCTAATGAGGTGTGGCAACTTGAACTGATCTACATTTTTGGCAATTTTGATGTACGTTACGACCGACTGATGATTTACTGTGTTGTTTAGGCACTCATTTCTTATTGATTTCAGCAATTAGATCCTCCTTTTGGATATTTCTACGGAGAATAACTTCGTTGCTTCTGCTTTTTATATTGCCTATTCAACGCTTTTCTAAATGTTAAATACGCAAGTATTTTTTCATTATGATACCTCTCCTGTCTTTTAGATGGATTATCTATTGCGTACCATAAGTAGTGTACTACTTGTAATGCTGGTACTCAATAATTAATTAGTCTTTTAATTATCTACAATTTATGGACCTAGTATCGGGATTGGTCAATCTGTGCTACACAAATCTGTCAGAATAAGTTGTCTTGGAACAATTTTTAGTGAAGAACTTCGCGTTAGAAACATTAATATTGGTTTTGAAATGTTCCCAGTTGTAAGCCATTTATTCATGGTAAATGAACCATAATAAAATATCTAACCCCCCACATCACCCTTGTGTTTCTGATTACATTAATTCTGGGCTGTGACTCAACCACTGAAATAACTAGAAAAAAGCTTGGTGACATGTTTTTCATTTCTAATAAAGTGTGTGCTGATTCCTAATACTTATATTTAATGTTCTCATTCTTATGATTTTGAATCTCTAGACTGACTATGTCACCGACTCAACGAAAGCAAGCACTCCAAGAAATGAAAGAAAAACAGAAGATTGAACATATTCACGCTAATAAATTGCTTGATGATCAACATCTTATGACTGCTTTGCCTCAGTGCCCTCGTTTACCTGAACCTTCCAAACTTGAACTTCCTCCTAGTTTCAACGAATCTTTGTTTGGACGCCTGCTAGGATTAACAGAATTTTTCCATGTCTTCCATAGCTTACTTGTTGAAGGATCTGTTGATGATACCGAGGTAGAGAATCCATCTGAAAATAATGTCCTATCTGGCTTTTGTCGCTTTCCAGTCGAATCTCTTGTAGCCGGGGTTGGTGAACCGGGTTATTCTGATGATGATGACGATGGTAATACTGATGAAGAAGAGGAAGAAGCTGGATTAACTGAATCAAATGCTCCACTTCCGAAAATATGTATAAAGTCATTGCGTCGTCTAGGATTGAAACGATTACTTAACGCTGTCACCACAAATAATCCATCAGCCGGTGCCTATCGATCACTAGCACGTCCTTTAAGTGTCCTATTACGCTTAGTCTTAAGAGATGAACAAATAGGTGTAAGTATTATATATTGTGTTAACAAAACTAACATATAATAATGTTGTTTTAAATTAGGAACTTAACGTATTTCCATAACAGCATTTATTCACATACTATTCATTTTTCTCACGATAAATCATAGAGCTCATCAGTTTTCCATTCTCATAATAAAGGAGTTACAACCTGTTTATCGCCTTCACATTCGTGCCTCTGAAGTACACGACTGATTGAACTGTATTCGAAGAATCAGTATTTCATTGACCCCTAGTAATACTTCAATTCATGTAATTTTGTAGCCTTTTTATTTTTTATCACTGTAACCTGGTTAAAGTGTAAGATTTTCCACCTGAGATTTGTGGCGGGGAAAGTATAATCCTTTTGATAATCAGATGCTTATGTTTTAGTTAGCTGAATCTCATAATGGTTGAAACTAGAAATAAACTTGATTATGAATTACATTTACAGTCAGCATTGTAACCAAGATTATACTCTTTTTATGCGAATCTCAGCTCTTAGCTGGAAACTAGCATATTATGGTTCAAAACCCCAGTTCATCTTTTATGGTTTGATCTTGTTAGTAGATTTGGTCTTCGCTCAAAAATGATACTGTGTGTACACTGTACACGGCACCATAATTTTTCATAATACCATCGTGATTTAATAAAAAAGCGAATGACATGAACGATCCTCTGAGATTCCCAATAACTACCTTTACGAAATGCGGAAAAATTTACAGCAAAGAAAACTTTTCTCGTTAATTTCATTTCCCTAAAAGCTATAAAGCAATTGTGCCTGTATTAACTGATTAATGGTAGTATCAATCCTTGCATATTAGCTTGGCCGTGTTCTCTCAGTGAACGAATTATCTGACCGGTTCGTTAGTGTTGTAAAACATATAAGAAACTAAATATCAAAGATGAATGGCTGCAAATTGAAAGATTATGGTTTGATATTTTAAGGAGGTTGGTGAAGATCATTCACCTAATATGTATTGGTTTTGAATAAAGGTAATAGAATAATGCGTGATTGATTGAAATTAGTTAATTGGAGTAAAAAGTTGAAGAATGATCAAAGAATGTATATAATTGAACGGTGAAAAAAACAACAGAATATGAATTAAACCCAGAAGAAAATACAGAAATGTAAGGAAAGTGACCACACCAACCGTTACAGTACACATAAATTTGACTACACTACGTATCCCTCAAGTTTCTGCAATCAAACATATGATGTCTAGACATTCATTTTTTGGTAGATTTGGTTAGAACTTATTAGTAATCTCAAGTGATATATCAGGTATTGTATCGTTATAAATAATTACATTTTGTGGAATATAAGATTCCACACTTCAATGTTTTTTACTGAACCATGCTAGAAGGTTACTTACTTGCCTATACGTACTAACATAAGAATTTTTTGGTCACAAAATGAAATTATTGAAAGGCTCAAAATCGAGTATTAATTGTAGTTTGGTTTCAACTGTAAGATAACAGAACTTTGCAGGCATACTATTGCGTTGTGCTTACTGATCAATTGGTACATACATAATCCTAAAATTAGTATTAGAAAGGTAATCATAAACTTTTTTCCAAGTAAAACACGATCATTTATTTTAGTCCAATGATTTTTTTTTATTCTCAGAAAAAACGTGAGTTGGGCTTGAAACTGGCTAAATTCCCAGTTACACCGTATACAGCTCCTGAGCTTCTTAGATTGACTCTTTTAAACGAAATCCCATCAAATCATGCTAGAACAACTATATTGGAACAATTACGAAATCATGATGCTCCAGTCACCGATCCTAATGTAAGTGTCAAAATGTTTCTTGTACGTTATTTGGCCTGCTTGAGCAAGTGCAAGATATGATGTTATTTTCAGATTATTGATTTGAGTCTTAATCTATGATAAAAACATGAGTAACTTTAGCACTAACCCTTATGTTCCTTAAGCATTAAATAAGTACAAATAATACAACAATCAAAAACGAATATGGTCCCTTGTAGAAATCGTCTACCGATAAATCGAATAGTATTGGATGACTCATTCACTGCAGGGTAACAGTTAAATAACAAAACAAAGACTAAAGTTTAAGGTCAAGCCAGGTCATACTGTTGATTGGATGAATCTTTCATTTTTCAAACAATAAATGTACTAATTCTTCCCAGTAATTTGAAGTTTTTATCGTTCTGAATACAATTATAATGGATACAAATATCAGCTTCCATCATACTGAAATTTCCTTGCAAATTGGGTTTGTATTATATTCTGGTTTCCACAATCTTGGGGTTCATCCTCAAAGTATAAGAATTTAGTCCTGTTTCTGAATCAATGGATCTAAGACAATGTAAGAAACAAAAATGAACAAACAGTCTTATTGAGTGAAGTCCTTGTTATGTTAGCTCTATATTCTAAAAGCTCTACCTCAGGTGACAAAAATTAGAAGGGTGTTGTGTTTAGCGCCGATCTTCTGTAACTCGCCCCTTCGGACATGGAAAAGAAACCACTGCGAATCTTCGTTGTTTCAGACAAACGCTTTGTTATGGTCACACCATAGAACGATCGGGAGTACCATTTTGCCACGGGACCTTACGTTTCTGCTTCTAATCATATATTCCACCAACGGATTGGTTTATATGGTACGATCTAAAGAAACAAGTATTCCAGTCACCATAACTCGGTTTAGCCATCAAGATAGACAAGTCCGATCACGGCTGCAGATGAGCACCTTTCATGATTTTCGTGTCATCCTTTCCCAGGGGTCATAATCATCCCTGTCTTTTCCGAATATTGGTGTATGTAAACCGTCGGGACGACTATGTACATTAACATAGTGAAGCAAGGATCCTAAGAATCTACATCGAATAAAAAAATTACTCTTAATTATCGTTTCTGAGGAATGCCTCCGGAAAATACATTAGAACGCTTACAAAAACCCTTTAGGTTTGAAGTAAGCCGTTATTCAATTAATTGGGAATAAAATATTTATTGGTATGAGCTTAATTGAATAAAGTGTGAATTAGGAAAGAGTTTAAAAACACTAATCATTTAAAAATAAAATTGAAGGGTTAACTCATTTAGAATTGAATCAACCATTGTTCTCATTCAATGTTAATCTATCAACTAATTGAATGAATTTTTCAGTTTAACATAATTACTTTTCTCAGTAGCTATTCAGGCATGATAACTTCGGTTTCTAATAAATTCAGTTTCATACTTGATAACTTGCAGTTGTTGGGCCGTACAGGGTTTTATAGAAAAACTTCAATTAATTGCTCCTATAATTAGTTTTCGACCCGACTGTTGCCTCTACCTTGACGTAGTGATCGAACTTACCTATCGTGATAAAACAATGGGACTATACTGGTTGGAACAATCGTTCCTCAAGGTTCTAACATGCCAGGCAAGTCAGTTGACGAACGGTAAGATTGAAAACAGCAAACCCGAGGTATGAAGGCGAAGTCATACTGCTGACTGTACAGAGGCATGACGGCAGTAAGGTGTTTCTTCCAGAAAACCAGCACGACAGCAGTGCTGTCTTCCCACAAAGGAAGGGTGGAGTTAGAATAGATCGACCCTAAAAATGCACACCTCTCCTTATTCCACGGATATCAGTCTCCCGCGGTAAGGTCTCAACAAGAACGGAGCTAATACGAAAACTGCCCACGAGAAGATAGTATGTGACCGACCTCAAGCAGTTGTCCCTTTGGAACTGCGGTCACGTTCTCAGGTCACTAAGATCAAATCTAACTCAATTTCCCTCGTCAAGGCTGTCCATTTTCTCAATTTTTTAAACCTTATTATGCACATGCTGATGGAGATAAGGCTCTCGTCGACTGAATTTTCGGGCATTTGTCTCCTACCAGGATGTCCACTTATCGACTGAGAATACGCAGATGATACAGTCCTGTTTGGTGAAAACGCTGATAAAATTCACTCTTTTTATAGCACTGAGCGACAATGCCAGGATTTTTGGGATGCGCTTCTTCCCCTCTAAATACAAGTTGTTGCTTCAGGACTGGTCTATGTCAACACCTGAACTAAGGATAGGGAATTAAATAGTCGAACGCGTTGACAACTTCACTTATCTTGGAAGTCTGATCAGCCCTAATGGGTTGGTGTCTGACGGAATCTCTACACGGATTCGAAAAGCTCGTTTGGCTTTTGCCAACTCATGTCACCTATGGCGAAGGCGAGGTATCCGTTTATCAATAAAAGGACGAGTATACTGCTCGGCAGTTTGTTCTGTTTTACTTTACGGCAGCGAAACATGGCCATTGAGAGTGAGAGATACTAGTAAGTTACTACTGTTTGACCACAGATGTCTTAGAAATATTACTGGCGTCTGCTGGGATCAGCCGGTAAGTAATAGTGAGGTTAGACGCAGAGTATTAGGGAATGATGGTAAATCAGTTGATGAGGTTGTAAATCTCCATCGACTGAGATGGTTGGGCCACGTGTTGCGTATGCCTGAACACCGATCACCACGATGCGCAATGCTGATTAGTATTTGGAATGGATGTAAGAAAATTCAGGGTGGCCAAACCCAAACGTGGTCTTGAGTGCTGTTAGAAGTATGAGGGTTGTTATGCACTCTCTGCCTTCCCTTAGAGTATGAGATTAAAATCGCTTCGTATTTTTCTACGTACTAATTCTTTCTTCCTGTTCTATATCGTTATATGCAGTCTTTCTTCCATATATTACCACCATTGAATTAACTACTATGAATTCGGTGCTCATCTTATTGTGCTAATGAGGTATGGCAACTTAGACCGATGAATGGATGCGTCTGGTCCTACGTTGTAACTGACCTCAAAGTAAAGTGCAAGAGTTTTTATTTAGGAATTTAGACTAATATATTTCATAAATTATTTATTTGCAAAGGGAAGTACGGTTTAAACATGGACACTGAGATGCAGACAAATCCAGCTGACGAATTTCAACCACAACAAATAGTGTTCCCTAACTTCCACTCACAACCGCAATTCAACTCTGCTTTTGAAGGAAACACGGTTTTCATTTTAAACACTTGTGATAGGCTGAGTTTTCTGTATATATTCTTTTCTTTTATATAATCACTTTCGATTGAGTGTATATCTAGAATACCATTCATTTTGTATCCAAATTTTTAGCCATTTGACCAGAATTCTGTGACACAACTTATACAGCACTTATCCAACTCTGATCTACATGAACTGTTTCCAGAAATACGTGTAATAGCGTTGGAATGGGCAGTGGATAAAATTTTCGATCTTGATCTTATAGATGATCATATTATGGCATGTCAACGTCGTGCAGCTGATGCTTGGCAAAGGAAAATTCAGGTATTACGTGATAAAAACTTACGAAAAAAAGACAAAAAAGATAATGCAAATGAAGCTAACAAAGCCACCAGTAATAATAATAATAGCAATAATATATCTACCAATCAACTTGATGAGTCGAAGTCTAAAGCAGACACTACCGCTACTGCTGATGATATCACAGATTCTGAAAGTAAGTTGTTTCTAAAAATGATTTACTCGCTTGTTTAAATGAAAAAATAATGTAAAAATTAATCACAGCGTAATAGAACATTTGACTTACATATCTGATTAAAATAAATGTGAAGCAAACACTTTAAAATGTAACTATTAACTATTTCAGATGACTTAGCATCAATTGTAAAACGCAGACGAATTCTAGCTGCACGAGCAGCAATAGAAAAGGAAGAAAAAGAAAATCTGGAACGTCAACGCCGTCTGGAAATGGCTCAAGAACATGCTGAAGAACGTGCAATTAACACAGTTAGTCGACTTCATGATATTCGGTCTACAGAAGCAAAATGTGTTCTACGAAACAACCCTATTGGTTATGATAGATATTATCGTCGTGTTTGGTATTTCCGTTGTTCTCCGGATCGTTTGTTTTTGGAGGCTAATTGGGCTTCCTCAAGTATCATGTATTCGGTTGATTCCTTTAGAAGTAATTAATATTTCCTTAATATATTAATTTACGTAATTATTTATTTATTTATCTGAACACATAAATATTGGTACAAAGGGGCACCAAATACATATGTGTCACACAAATCGAATGATTCGTGTGAGGGCTGAAATACTGCCCGGGCGCCCAAACTGGAACAGGCGGTTTTCTTAGGTGGCCACTCCCCGAGCCTTTGACCTGGAGGTCTAACCCACAAGGCAGTGGAGCAACGCTAGGAGATACAGTCCCATGGTAGCCGGTGACCACCATTAAGTTCATGCACCATTTGTTTCCTTAGGATCCTGACAGTGGCTGTGTACTCGAGGTCGTGTGGAAGTATTTTGAGAGGGAGAGCTGACTCTCCCCACTCTCGGCCGTACCAGGGCCTTTGGGGGCAATATACGTATTGATATGATACATTTAAGTGGTTTACTGCAATTTACTTTTTCATAGTTTCTCCATACCATCTAGAATTTGGCACGCTTTTTGTTTGTAGAAAATGAATCTGTCCCAATTACCACTTTGAGTGATGAATCAATACCACAACCTGCTCATGAATTTGTAAAAAATGGCACATTGAACAGTGGAACTATTTCAAGTTCCTGGAGTAATTGGTATTTTTATGATCGTCCTGAACAGTTAGATGAATTGTTAAATTCATTGCTAACTCGCGGTGTTCGAGAAAGTCATTTAAAAAGTCAGTTATTGGCAGATGGATTTCTGGAGTCACTTAAAAAAAGATGGAGAAGTGGTCTCTCAAATGAATTGGTAATTAAAGCTGACACGACGAATGGTACTCCTATAAATGTAGAAAAACATCCATCTCATCATAAACGGTAAGTTTTGGATCTTTTATGGTACCATGGCTAGTTTCAGCATAAACGTTAAAAATTATAATAATTATTTTAAATATCAACACGTTTCAATGTTTTACTTCAATACGGATATAGTTGTAAATAGCTGATGATAAACCATGAAGTGAAAAGAATTCGTATTATTCTTGCTTTATTCAAATTTCTGTACAGGGACTAATTATATGAAACATAAAATTTAAGTTTAGTTATCCGAAACGCTTTGCATTTTCCACAGAGTTTTCCTGTCATTTTTCTATTTTAAAACTATTTTCTAATCTAATATTCATTTTATAGGGCACTAGTAACTAAGTCTGTGTATGTGTATACGGGTTCTGGCAAATTGTATTACTTGTAGTCGTTTATCAGTTGCTTAATTGACGGGACAACAGTCTTTGCAGTCTCGAATTAAAACAACAATTTATCAGTACAATTTGTCCTATTTGATTTCACGTCCCAAAAGTCTGTGATAAGAAAAGGGAAAACAGTCTAGCTATGACATGCTAAAACTAAGGACTAATTCTGTCTTTTTTCTTCGTTCTTGAATAGCATGATGTTTATTCTTCGTAGTCAATGCCCGTTGATGAGGATTTGTTTGACAGCTTCGAGTTCACCTGATTGATTGCCGTGGTAGACCCTAATTTTCAGTCAGTCTATGAATACAGTGTTCTTGAGTGCTACTAGAGGTATAAGGGCGGTTATCACTTCCCGGTTGCCCACACTGTGGTAAGGTTCTTCTGGAGGTACCTGAAAATGAAATTGGGTTAGAGTTGATCTTAGTGACCTGAGAGCGTGACCGCAGTTCCAAAGAGACAACTGCTTGAGGTCGGTCACATACTATCTTTTCGTGGGCAGTTTTCGTATTAGCTCCGTTCTTGTTGAGACCTTACCGCGGGAGACTGATATCCGTGGAATAAGGAGAGGTGTGCATTTTTAGGGTCGATCTATTCTAACTCCACCCTTCCTTTGTGGGAAGACAGCACTGCTGTCGTGCTGGTTTTCTGGAAGAAACACCTTACTGCCGTCATGCCTCTGTACAGTCAGCAGTATGACTTCGCCTTCATACCTCGGGTTTGCTGTTTTCAATCTTACCGTTCGTCAACTGACTTGCCTGGCATGTTAGAACCTTGAGGAACGATTGTTCCAACCAGTATAGTCCCATTGTTTTATCACGATAGGTAAGTTCGATCACTACGTCAAGGTAGCAGTGACGGTCGGGGACACTAATTTTACACAATTTCAATTTAATTTGTAATGGTTTAGTTTCCTATGATTAACAGAAATGTGAAATATTTTTCTATTATAGCGATCTTCCTGCTGGAGCCGCTTTGGCAGGAGCATTGTTAAAAGTAAGTTTGATTACTTTTAATATGTGATTATATTAGTTGAAGATGTTACTTATGTTTGTTTTTATTCATTGGTAGATACAAGTTCATAAAATGGTGTATTTTTCAAATAATTTTGTCATAATTTATATGTGATAGGTTTTCATTGTTAGTCTCTTATGCACCGTAGAACGCTATACACTTACATCAGCTCAAGCTACTATACCACATAAGGACGTCGAGATAAAATTATCAAGATGTTAGAGTGATAGAATGAGTAGTACTAGTATCAGTAGTAATGAAAAAGATTATGTGTAGGCCGAAAAAGTACGAGATTACGTGTCTCAGGTTCTAATGGAAGGAATGAATGCACCTGCGCCACTCAATTTCTATACACTGGTTATGACAGGCGCGTGGTCCCCAACCAGGTAATCTCCATCTACTTGCATGACTCAGTCCAGCAGCCGATGACTTCGTAAACTGATAAATGTCTTGATTTGCCTGTCGTTAGCTTTCTTCCAACGTACTACTACATTTGACAACATTAAGTGTCGAGGTCGTGGTTGATTCAGCATACGTAACACATCTCAATCACCTCAGCATTACCTACTCATTCGCTCCACGATGTAAAAGAAATATCTCGAAGACACTTGCAATCAAAAACATGCAGCCGGCGCATGTCTTCTATATTTATGGACTGTTTCATAGCCATAGACTAGAACGCAGTACACTCGCCCTTGCGTTAGCAAAAGGATATTTTGCCGACTCCGCAAGTTGGAACAGTCCAACCGATCTTTCGGAATCTTTGTCGACAATTCTTCAGATACCAACTTTATTATTAGCTTCTACACAGGTTATTTGGCTAACAGTGCTAATGATACCATCTGGTTCCCTATAACAAGATATGTAGAGTGGAATCGGAACCTGAACCTGGCTGAAAGGCGAACATCAACGCACTCAACTACTTCACTTCCTATCATTAGTTCAGATGTTGACTCAAACCAGTCCTAAAGCAATTTGAGTTTAAAAAGAGAAAATTTAAGTCCGGACGTGCTTACATTGTTGCTCAAGTCTATTAAAGGGCTTCATCACCAAAGTGTTCAGTGCAATAATTATATATACACGGCCGAAAAAACAGATTTTTCGTTTGTCATATATTTAAAGTTAAGTTTAACTGGGATTAATGTGGAAAAGCTTCAGAACTCTTATGTGAGGAGCTGATATTTATTTCTGCTGAAATACAGTGGACAAAAATCTCCGAAAAGGTCCCTAGAAATACTTTATTATAAATGTCAATCCATTTGAAAGAATGAAATATTGTACCGCGGAGCTATGTGTTAACGAATGCGCTTGATGTACGGCACGAATAGTCCACAATAGATCAAGTAAATAAATTTTACCTATTGAGTCATTACGTATTTGAAAATGAAGTAAAGAAACCAATTCTATTGAAGGTCATAGACACGTGACTATAAATACAGATTGCTAGCATTTTGTACGTAATACTATCTGTACTTTGTTAATCAAGTTGTCGGTTGATAAGTGGATTGTCTTTAACATTTATATTTTGTCTGCAATATACTGACATTATGTAAATAGTCTCTATCAGAAGTTCTGATTTATTTTTAGAATATTTTAGATACTGAGGTTCGTCTAAGATCCGGTGGTCTCGGTGGTGTACCAGATTTTACAAAATGGCAAGAGCGTTTAGCACAAATACAAGAATCCTATGGAATCCAACAAGAAACTCTTAATGTAAATTTGTCTTCAAAACCAAATCTGTCAGCTTTATCCAGTCTATGTGAATTGCCAAATAAAGCAGGACTTGCTATTGCTCTTATTGAAGTAGCTGAAAATATAATACCTCGCTTTTTAAACGTTCCTGATCTTTGCACCAAGTCAAAATTCAACTCTAATCAAAATGGAACAAATGATTGTCATGATCTAAAAACTTCCTTTCCAGATCATGTACCATTTTGTAGATTTTCATCTGGAGAAGATTCAGACGCATCTGAAAGTAATGATCGTTCACAGGAACTGGAGAAAGCTGTTTTAGACCCTGAAGCTCATGAACTACGAACTCGTGCTTGGATGACAGCTTGGCGTACTGAAGTTCAAAATGCTCGTACACTGACCCGATTAAATCTCTTACATGTAATTCTGTGGAAAGCTCGATTTAGTTTAATTATATCTTCCTTTAATTTTATTGTTGTGGATAATCAAAGTTAATCTTATTGAGTTATAAGTTCATATCAATTCTACACAGTTCAGTTGAACTAATTAAGCGACTAATGAATAGTTGAAGTGTGTGTTACTTATGCGGACAGATATGTAGTATGTAGCAGGGATTAGAAGTAAAATACTTATCAGCAGAAGATCGAAATAAAGAGGAGAGGAAAGAAACAGAGCAAATGGAATAACTACAGGATTAGAAGTTTGAATGATGATGTAAAGAACAACTCAAGATAGATGTGCAGATGATGTTTTTTTCTGTATGGTTTTCATATTTTACTAAGTCACTGTGTAATTTTGCATAGAACAATAAATTGGTTTTCCCCACTACCCAGTAAAAGACAACAATAGTTTATCACAGGGGTTATGTACTTGGTTATTTATTTATATATTTACTTAAACACATTGATATTGGTACAAGGGGGCAGCAGATGCATATGCGCCACAAACCTCATTTGATTTGTATGAAGGCTGTGACACTGCCCGGGTGCTCAAACCGAAGCAAGTGGTTTTCTTAGGGGGCCACACCCGAAGCCTTCGACCTGAAGGTCTGATCCACAAGGCAGTGGAGCATCGTCAGGAGATGCATTCCCATGGAAGCCGGTGACCAACGATTGGTTCATACACCATTTGTTCCTTCAGGATACTGGAGACCATGTGCACCATTGGTTTGTAATCAGGGTTTTCCAACTCCCTTAGGTGGACTCTCTATGCCTATTAACCCAGTTAAAGCGCCGGGCATTCGCTTTTCGTTATCTCAATTTCGTAAACAACACCCCCGTCACGAGAAGGCAGTGAGTAGGACTTCCCTGGCAGAGGCTATATACGCGTGGCCATGTGATAGCATTTCGAGAGGGAGGGCGGACTCTCTCTACTATCGGCCGCACCAGGGCATTTGGGGGCTATGTACATGATAACAAAGTGATTATTATTATTATTATTGAACACTTGTAGAATGTTTTCATCCTAATATTAACTTGTGTTACTATCTTCTTTCCATATGTAAAAGGATTTTGTAGCGTTAACACACTAGTTCACACATTTCAACCAACCGGTCACTTAGTGGTTTTGCTCATACAACCTTGTAAATAGTTTTACACAATGGATGTTTGAAGTGTACATCTGCGTTTGTGATTTATTTATTCTTAAATCTGTGTTTTTTCTTTAGTAAAATTATTTTTTGTCTGATTATTATCAATATTTCAAAAAGCGTATTTTGCAAATAACTAAGGCTATGTCCATTGTTATACTATACTAACAAGCAGATACCATCCTTTTTATGAACATACACAGTCCATTCGCTACTTTGTTTTAAGTACTGATGCGTATCTCCAAATCACCCGTGGATGATTAGGTACTTAGTGTTCATTAAGTCCTGATTAACCTGCTTTGTCCAGTGTCAATCATATATTCCGATTGTTCACATTCAGATAAATTCTATCTGTAATATATCAAGCATTCATGACAAAATATTTTACAGTTTTACCAAACAATAATAAGTTATCCTCAATACCTAAGCAGTATATTTTCAAAAATTCCAATTATTCAACAAACATTCTGTCTACTAACCGGGAATTTTAAACTCCGTTAATATTTTGCATGATGAAAAAATTCTTGTCCCTTTTAATGTGATTTGCATTCACTTCTTTATAACTAGGCATGTCTGGATGCATGTGTTCGCTGGGAAAAGTCAGTGGAAGATGCGCGCTGTCGTATTTGTCGTCGGAAAACAGATGATGATAATTTACTACTTTGTGACGGTTGTAATCTTGCTTTCCATCTCTACTGTTTACGTCCACCATTAAAACGTGTACCAACAGGTGATTGGTTCTGCCCGACTTGTGGACCAGCCTCCCGTGCCCTTGAGAAGCGTAAGCGTGAAGAACGTTTAGCTCGATCTGCAAGACGACGAAAACGTGCTTTGTCATCTGATGATGATGAACAATTAAATTCCGATAATAATGAAGAAAGTAGTGGCGAAAGTGAAGCTACTCAAAAAATCAAACGTCGAAATCCCCGTTCATTTCGATCCAAAGGCGGTAATGACTCAAGTGCGTTCAATATAAAACGTTCAATTAGTCCAACCAATCGTAATTCAGGTAAAATTTCCTTTTTAAACTGTCTGTATTCTGTGTTTTGGATTGATATTAATTCTGTATTTGTTTTCTTCAGTTTCATCTAGAAATATCAGACACGATACATCCTGTCTTGTTTGTTCAGATTCAATTGGTGATTTGGTTCTATGTTCCAACTGTCCAAATGTATTCCATCTGGACTGTCATGATCCCCCATTGCACCATATTCCACGTGGAGATGGTTGGCTGTGTTCAGTTTGCCGGTCGAATAAAAAACGTTCTACTATTACTTCTTATTTTCAAAGCAGAGATTATCGTCGAAAAACGTGAGTACTATTGTATATCATTATTTCATTAATCACCTTATTAATCTAAAATTCACTAATGTATGGAATTATAACGATCGGTTATATGACTTACATATCGTTTCTTAACCAGAATATCACCTTGTTTCACTAGATAAAACCAAATTTGTGAGTACAGTTTTTTTGTAAGATAAAAGGTCCAACTAATCAATTAAATGTAAACTAATTATTGTCTTTTTCATTTCGGTAATTCATTAGTGTGAACTAAAAATCAGTCCACTAATTTTTATTTCACTCGCTTTTTTCTGCTTATATTTCCGTTCCATATTCCGTGTTTCTTCATTTATTTATCTATAGTTATCAAGCAGTTTTAAAGAAACGAGCTGTCAGTCCAGATGAACGTAGCGAAGATGAACTTTTAAATAGTACATCTTTTACTCGTTCAACACGAAGTAACAATAGATCTCGAAGGAATATCGCAATGTCTGACACTGATGATGAACGACGATCGAGTGAAGCATCTTCAGATGTAGATATCCGCTCTAATAATCAACGTCCAATTTCCCGTCGACGTAGTGCTTCACGATCAGCGTCTGCTCTTAGTTCACAACTAAATAAATATCCAAAACGTAGACGACGACACTTGTCTGATCAGGAGGATACTTCAGAAACAGAACAAATGGACGAAAAGTCTCAATCTTTATGTTCACACATTCTTGATGCTGTGTATAAGCACAAACACTCATGGCCGTTCAGAAAACCTGTTGATAGAAGCCAGGTAACGTTTTGAATGTTTTCCTTTCATTATAGGCATTCTTTTTGGCTGTCAATTCCATGCATCTTTTCGTCATCAGTGATTTTTAATTCACTTAGTATAAAATGCATTTACGTTTTACAAGTTCACGAGCTCCTGTTGTCTTGTGCGTTTCCAAGTGTTTTGTGTACCAGTTAAAACCACATTCATATTTCATTTCAATACTACTATTCTAAATATGTTATGGGAAAGTTTGTTGTGGAATGAGGTGTAAGTACTACCTTTTCATTCCATCGATTTTTTCAAAGGTCTTCTAAAAAGTTGGTTTTCATATTACTCCTTAAAGAGATTGTTTTTTGATTAAAGAAACAACATTGTTGTTTTTTATGGTTTGATTCTTTCGCTTTCATGTACCTGATTCTTGACGAACCAGGTATGGGAAGATAGAAGATATAGATTAGATTCGATGCTTTACTGTCAAAGTCGAATTATATGCTGAACTCGTGTCTGTTTGTGGGATCCCGTAATAAACTAGTCGATGATACAATAAAAAGGGCTGGTTTAATAATTCACCTACTAAAGCTTCCTCACATATATCTTTCACCGTGTACCTTTGTGGTAACTGAGTTTATCCTGTATGTAACAGTACTCACAGCTTTCATCCTATAAAGTTCGTTTGTATCTTCGATGATTTTTATTAGTTTCTATCATTCATGTCGTTTCAATTTATTATCAACTGGATTCATTATTCCCGTTAGGTTCCCGATTATTATGAAATTATCACAGATCCTATCGATTTGTCCATGATGCGTGATTGGCTTTCTGAAGGACGGTATAACACGGAAACTACCAGCGCAGGACTGAAGAAACTAGTACATGATCTAGGTACTATGTTTTATAACGCCGAATTATATAATGCTGCTGACTCAGACGTTTGGTTAGCTGGAGAGCAGTTAGAAAAATTCGTGAAGAATCAGTTCGCTCATATAAACACAGGTGCGTTTTTGTATTCTGTTTGTTTGGTTTCAAAGTCCCGAGAATGTGCTTTTATTTTGTTTTATTATACCTCCTTCTTACTGTTGTGTGACTCTACTTTTGGTCACTATTACTTAGATTAGGCGAAAAACGAATTCACAGGTACATTTGCATTTTGCACTTGAGTTGTTACTCAGTAATCTAGTTACTTAACTTTCTACCACTACATTTTCTTCAGTCTAACAACATAATTTACTCCTCATATAAAGATTAAAGTACCTAGCTTTTTAATTACTTCACGTGAAGGTTAGTTTATGCTACTCTATCTATCCATCAGATGCAAGCGGGGCAGGATCCAAACCTCCAGGCCAGTGGATAACGTCATTTGCTTCAACTATTAAGGTGTTCGTACAACGTAAAATTTAAAGCCTGATATATAAGTTGATAGTTGTTACATCACTATTGTCTATCCTTTTATATGAAGCTCATATGTTGTCTTTCCAGTATATTTAAAAATAGTCATTTTGTATTTATGCTAATAAATCCTGCAATCTTTGTTGTTATCAACAGTAATCTTTAGATTTCGTGCATCACTCCGATTTCTTTCTAAAAAAACGTTTCTAGAATAATTACCCCACTAACGAGCCCTATTAGTCACTGAGTTAAAAAGTGAATCGATATTCCTGATTATAGTTGTTAAATTGACGTAGTCTGGTTAGCTTATCTTGATGATTCATCGAGCTTTATTGGTTGGAATACTTATTACTTTAGTTACTACAATGTCAGACTTGTTCATTGAAGAAAGCAGAACTTCAGGTTCCGACGGCAAATTTCGTACTGCTGACTGTATTAAGGGGTGTGTTGGTAGTGAGATGTTTTCTTCAACTAACCGTGGTCTACAGCGGTGTCACCTTCTCACAATGGAAGCAGTGAGTTAGAAAATGTCAGTCCTACAAATAACACACTCATCTTATGGGTTTCCGTCTTCTGTGGTAACGCATTTAAAGTACAGAGTTAACCTATCAAGAAGTACACGCGAAAAGAATGTGTATTGTAGGCCTCAAACAATTGTCCCTTGTGCTCTTTGATCATGCCTCAAAGCGTGAAAATAACTCTAGTAGTCAAGTTTTCATCTTTAGGTATCTCAAGAAAAAGCGTCGTTTTACGGTGTAGGGAATTGCGAAGTGGCGATCGCCTGTTCACCTGTAAAAAGTACTTGGGTTCATTTTTTTACAGTCAACTCCTTTCGTTTGACTGCGTTGATATTGTTATCACATTTTTCCAGTTATCGAGTCTTCTAAGTACTCATTCTAAACTGACTGATCCCAACTGTGTTAGTATACTGTTTGTTATTCAAGTGAGCCTATCTGTAATAATTTCTTAGGTTGTCGGTATATCAGTTACTTTATAAAGTGGATTTTTCTCTTGGAATCTCTTTAGTGTATTCATTTGAATACTTGCTTTCTTTTTTGAAAAAAAAAACACTCAAGTTTTTATAAACATTTTATAAACATTTTCTACTGGCATCTGCACTTCATAAAACATCAGAAATATTTAGAATCAGTAAGCTTGAACCAACAAAGAAGGAATTCATTTCATTAGAATTTGTCTTAGTAATTTAAAGAAGTAGGTAGGCGATTATAACTTCATATTTACTTGACAGTAGTGGTGTGATCTTCATACTCGTGAATATGAATGTTTCAAGTAAATGGAATGTTAGTTTATTATATTTTTTTATCAACTACTATCGTTGAATCTAAGTGCTCATAACTGTTTTAACGATAGTGATCATTTGTAATGTTATAAATATGATATAATATGACTCACTATATGTTATTACTTGGTGATGAAATACATTTAGATTCAATTTTGTTAACCATATACTAATATTTTGACTAAATGAATTTGCTAAGCGAACAATCACTGTCAGAATAAATTTTCTGTTCTCCAAGGTCCAATGAGCATACGGGAGGCCAACACTTGATCTCCTTATATCTCTAGCTTTAAAATTCATTTGACTTAATGGATGAATTACAAAATCAAAACACACCGCAAATAAGAAATAGCGTGTAACGTAGAACACAAATTTGGAAAGCAGTAATAATATTCATATGCTTAATCTGATGTACATTGGGAACAGAGTACGATAAGACACCAATTAATGATTGAAATGAAACCCTTTAATTTGGGAAATGTAGAAATTACATGAATTAAGTGCTACATTATGAAATAGGTGTAATGATATCTTGAAAATAACTTTCAAAGTTTGTCTTTGTTTTTTTTTACTTGTCTCATCTCACCCCAAATGCCCTGGTACGGCCGAGAGTGCGGAGAGTCCGCTCTCCCTCTCAAAATGCTATCACATGGCCACGCGTATATAGCCTCTGCCAGGGAAGTCCTACTCACTGCCTTCTCGTGACGGGGGTGTTGTTTACGAAATTGAGATAACGAAAAGCGATTGCCCGGCGCTTTAACCGGATTCCAAACCAATGATGCACATGGTCTCCAGTATCCTGAAGGAACAAATGGTGTATGAACCAATCGTTGGTCATCGGCTTCCATGGGAATGCATCTCCTGACGATGCTCCACTGCCTTGTGGATCAGACCTTCAGGTCGAAGGCTTCGGGTGTGGCCCCCTAAGAAAACCACTTGCTTCGGTTTGAGCACCCGGGCAGTGTCACAGCCTTTATACAAATCAAATGAGGTTTGTGGCGCATATGCATCTGCTGCCCCCTTGTACCATTATCTATGTGTTGAAATAAACATCTCAACCATTGTTCTTCTGTCTGTTTTTTTCATATTTTTCGTTTAGATGTTATCTACTCTAGACCAGCACTTGGTGATGCATGAATATGAATATGAATAATCGTATTTTGGTGAAATTATGATGGAAATTTTTTTTGTGTGTGTGGAAATATCTGTTTTTGAATTATTTGTGTACGCATAAAAGCAATAATCTAAGTCAAGTTTTGATATGTGTGTGTTTATACTATCTCCTGTTATTAAAAACAAACTTACAATGACTCGATTTAAACAATACACATAATCTTCTTATTCATTATTATTATTTTGACTATCAGCTTATTCTCTATTTGTCTTTTTTATTTTGTCAGTGGATATTCTAAGTGTATGCATTTACAATTTAGAAAGAGAGAATTATATATATCTATCTATTTTCTAGTGTGTTTTTGTTGCAAACTTTTTTTTTAGAAAAAAACAAATTATTTATTTAAGTAAAGTTGTATTCGAATTAACAACATTCAGTAAAACAGTTTTGAATATGTATTTTTTTCTCTATTTTGTTTCTCCTCTAATTTTTTTTCGACTTTTTTCTTTTCTTTAAAAATCATCGAATCACTTGTGCTCAACATTGTCAATGTGTGCTTCCTTTGTGTATATGATTGATAATTGTTCAGTGACTTCTGTTTCTCTTCCCTCCTCTCTCTCCCTCTCTCTCTCTGGTTCTCCCTTTTCTTGTGTCACATTCTTCATGATATAGATGTGCAGGTTTGTACAGCCTTATTGTACACTTTCTCTCTCTCTCTCTCTCTCTCTATATATATATATATATATATATATATATATATATATATATATATATATATGATTGATTCTTGTAAAGGTATATTTTAATTGTCCCTTTTTATGTATATTTGTGTCACAGTAATAATTTGTCTACAATATTGTCATGACGTATTGATAATGTAACACACATTTGTTGAACTACCTTCTTAAAAAAAATTAGCTTGATTTTTAATAAACAAAGTATTCCTATTATTATCGGTTGTGAATTAATTAAAAGATGGTATATACACATATCATTGTTATTTTTGGCATTTATGTCTTATTGCAAGAAATTAATAATGTAATAGAAATATCTGGAAAAAAACTAGTGGATTTAAATGAAATAGGCTTATAATATTGATAACTATTAGGTCAAAGTACTACACTACGTCAGGACTGCAACTTATGATCAGCTCTTCGATTTTTCTAACCAGTCCCAGCGTCGGCAAATAATGCACGACGTGGAATTCGCTGGGACGACATTCGTAGAATATGTCCAAGACACCGAAGTCGATGTCTCAAGGTGCTGACACCAATTGGATTATCGTCTCTGAGCCCGAACCTCTGCATTACTAACATGGTACTGCCACTGGGTGTCAGCAATCCTTCAGAGACAGCGATGATCAAACATAGAGAGTCGCCTAACATCCTCAACTCGGAGGGGCTAGGTTTCATACGCATAGAGCAAAACTGCTCTCACCGACGCGTAGATTCGATTTTTTATAGCCAGACTGACATCACGAAGGCGCCAAAGATTGGCATAAGCCGCTCTGGCTTTCACTATATATGCATTGATCTCACCACCAGCACTTATGCAGATACACGAACTTCTCGACTACTTCTATCTGCTCACCATCCAGGGTGAGTACAGGATTAGAATCCTGCCAGTCTTGTAGAAGTACTTTGCACTTCGAAGGTACAAAGCACATACCATACCTACGGACACTGATTGTCAACTGATTAAGTGCGGATTGCATGGCTTGGGCATTATCGCACAGTAAGACAATATCATCCGCATACTCAAGGTCGAGAAGTCTTTCTCCAGGCAACAGATCCACGCCGCCATTACTTACATCCATCAGAGCTGTTTCCAGAATGTCGTCGATGGCAAAGTTGAAGAGGAATGGTGAGATTGGGCAACCCTGTCTAACCCCACTGCTCGAATGGAACAATGGATCGAGGTGGTTGTATGCTCTCACTCTACCTGAGGTGTTTGTATATAGGGCCTTTTAGATGCGAATAAACTTTTCAGGTACACCCTTCTTCAATAGAAATTCTCAAAGAACAATATTATTCAACGAATCGAAGACGGCCCTAATGTCAAGAAACACTGCGATCTTTGGCATGTGGTAAGTATGACGGTGTTCTAACATTTGGTGGAGATATGATCAATACATCCTCGACCAGAACGAAACCCAGCCTGCTCCTCGCGAGCCCATCTTCCTCGAGTTTTGAACAATCTACGATGTATAAGGGAAGCCAGTAGTTTGGATGCAATAGGAAGTAGACATCCCCCGATACTTGTTGCAGAAACGACGTGAATTCTTTTTAAAGATAGGGACAACTATCGACTCATTCCATGACGTTGGAACACTCTCTAGTCCACAGACTTTTGTAAACAACACAGTCAGTTCCTTAACCGGAAACTCACCATAATCTTTAAGAAGAGCCGGAAGTAAGTCATCTGGGCCAGGTGATTTGTAGTGCCTCAAGAGCTGGGGTTCCTTGCGGACTTCCGCCTCATTTGGTGGATCAGTCGTCACCGGCCATAGAGGGAAGTACAGTCTGACTGATGTTGCCGGAGCAACAGGCCAGTTGAACTGGCCTTCGAAGAATTCCGCTCATCGTCCAAGACGTCGATTGATGTTAGTGGTTGGCATCCCATCATCCTCGCAGATTGTTTCACACACCAGACTTCTTGCGGCCAGTGGCTCAGATGAGTTTGAAGAGCTCCCGGTAGATACCAGGTGAGGCTGCCACTTCCAGCTCATTAGCACTCTCCGACCACCAGGTTTCTTGGTCCTTACGCAAGCTTTGCTGGATTTCATTACGTAACAGCTTTCGTTCGTGGTGAAACTCACGGTCACCTGGAGTAGACCGACGGGCTTGATGAGTTGTAAAGAACCTGAAGAAACCCAGTGCTTATAAGCGGGATGTTTTGCGAAGCCGCAAGCGGCTTTACTCGCCATTTTCATGGCGTTATGAAGTTGCAACCAACTTGCTGACATCAATCCGTTCATGACGATCGATTCGTTGGCCAATGGAAAGTAAGGTAAGATTGGCGCATACCAAAGCATGGTCAGAGTCCAGATAAGTACTCCAAAATAAGCGGCAGTCTTGTACACAACCACACCATCGGTAGCTGATGGCGATGTGATCAATCTGAGTCCAGACTTGAGATGCAGAGGGAGGACGCCATGTGGCACATCGGCGATGACTGTGCCGAAAGTTAACACCAGCCAGAAGTAGGTTGTGGTCTGTGCACAGTTGCAGTAGACGGTCCCTGTTATCTGTCCTGCGACCAACAAGATCCCATCGACCACCTAAATGATTCGCGTCTGTCCCTAGACGCCCGGCCTGAGCATTCAAGTCTCCGGCTAGTACCACAATATCTGTCGAACGCATTTTCTGGAGGAGAACAGTTAACCGGTGGTAAAACTCATCCTTGATTGCATCCGGGCTGCAATCTGTCGGGGCATAGGCAAAGATGACAAAAAACATCGTTTTTCACACCCATTTCTTCTCACTTTGATGGAACTTTCTCATCTAAGAGCACATAACCGACTGTTAATGGGGATCCAATCGATTAGTGCTGCCTCAGATCTAGCGCTTAGTGCGACAATAACGCCAGCGAGACCAGACGAAGATGCTACACGGTCTCCGGATAAACGCACGTAAAACAAGCTTTTCGAAGTGACATGGAAAGTGAATTTGTAGTCCTTCACCAGAGTCTTGAATACGGGTCTCGGATAGACAACAAACGTCGATATTAAGACTTTCCAAAGACATAGCCAGCCCTATCTGTTGTCCAACCTGAATAAATGTGCGAACGTTGAAGGCAGCCAGTCTGAATGTTGCACGTGGTTCCAGAAAAACTGCTTCAATATTCGTATTTGGTGGTAGCATACAATTTTCAACTAGGCAGTTACTCGAGAACGTTTAGATAGAACCGAGTTTCCACCATAAACGAGCTGCTGTATAAGTCGAAAAGTAAGGATATACAAAGTGGGAATAAAAGAGAGTGAATAACTGACGTAGTAAATAATAATAATGTGAATTGTTTGACTGATAATTGAAGCGAGAATAGAATTTTCAGTAAATATGGTCATTTCATTCTATTTGTGATCGGGCTGTGATACTCCCCGGGTGCCCAGACCGAAGCAGGTGGTTTTCGTAGGGGGCCACACCCCGAGCCTTCGACCTAAGGGTCTAACACACAAGGCAGTGGAGCATCGTGAGGAGATGCAGTCCCATGGTAGCCGGTGACTAGCGATTGGTTCATACACCATTTGTTCCTTCAGGATACTGGAGCCCATGTGCACCATTGATTTGGAATGCGGTTAAATCTCCGGACATTGACTTTGGGTTATCTAAGTTTCGTAAACAACACTCGTGGTGCGAGAAGGCAGTGAGTAGGACTTCCCTGGCGGAGGCTATATACGCGTGGCCATGTGAGAGCATTTCAAGAGGGAGGGCGGGCCCTCCCTACTCTCAGTCATACCAGATCATTTGGAGGCAATTTTTGCGTATGTTACTCAAGATATTATTTCTCCTTTATTATTCTAAAGTAAAGTGGGTTCATCATAAAGAAACAAACATTTTGCCTAACAGAACGTTTCATTTTGCAAGACATCCTTTCCCATTGGGGAACAAACTTCAGTGAGTGGTCCATTCATTGACGTTACTATCAACTTTCAAGTCTCTTAGTTCCAACTAAAGATCACTATAAGTCCCTTCAGTGTTTAAAAGGTGAAGCAGTGAAAAAGCTTGCATCCTAAATTGTGAGAATTTATTCATGAGTACGGCGTTTTGATAAGCGTAATGGTGCTCAGATCTTGGCGAAACTGTTTGTAGCTGCTGCTAGGAAATAAGTGTAGTTGTTTTGCTTAGAGGTTGATTTCATAGATTATGATTTTCATATAACGTTCTATATTCCCATTAACCAATTTTAAATCATTTTCATTCTGGCTATCTTGGCACATATTTCTACATTATCTAGTGGGTCTCATAGAACCTAGCAGAAAACCGTAATTCTCGTTTCTGGTACATCTAAACGCATAATCGCTAGGATAGTCCTTAGAAGTCCATACGGGTTGAATTTTATAGTGGGAAACTTAAGTTACTAATGTTCACATCTAGAATATAAAAATATATATAACTCTTGTCCAACTTGAATATTGTTGATATAATAAAGTAGTAGGCCTGATCTTTCAGCCTACTTGTTTAATAACATAAAAATGCATCATCGGTAGCCTAAGACTACTTGGTGCAATGCCGAAAGTAGTTTGGTGGACATATCTGTGTGAGTGATCAATCAAATTGTGTGTTAAATGACTGATTTAATAAATAAAGAATATTTGATTTCGTAATCTAACAACTAATCCGTTCGAATTCATGAATATCACTGATAACTTATTGAACAAAAAAACAGTTTTTGTTCTTACTAAGATAGAAAGATATGTTCGTAGAATAATGTAGAATATTTATATAATGACCTGGTCGGATTAACAGATCATCCAAGGCTGGTAAATCAACTCGTGTTATGATTACAAGGTAATTGGTTTAAATAGTCTAATTGATTGCTACCCCTTTTAAACATGGCAAAAACTAAATTGTCATTGAAGATTGACAGTGTTAGTTGAAGTTCTGGGTATTCTTCGATTAGCTGTTAAATTGTATAGGGGTGTCTCAGTGATTAGAACGTTAAACTTTCAACTACCATGTTGTAGGTTTGAAATTCTCTTCATCTACTTCGGTTCGGGAGACCTAGC